TAATCACTATCAATAATAATAAAAAGTTTTTCAAACAACTTATTGATATTACAATAAAAAAAATATGAAGTTTTATGTCAAGTTAATACGTATAGCACATTCCAAAAGCTAGTGTTAAGATAAAAAGTAATATATTGCGCGTTGAAATAAAACACTTTGAACGGTTTCAAACGCGGACATACTTATCAACTTATTTTCTAAAAAGTCCATAAAAAGTATATATATGTATATGTAGTGGATACTCCTTCACTTTAAGTAGACAATTTAAAACATTGTCAACCATTCTTTAGAACGTACTTATTTGTTCAAGTGCGACTAACAAGACTTGCATTTAGCGTGAAGTTTAAATAATACACCTACTTACATTTACATACTTGTCACTTGGTTAAACGTAATACTGTTCGAAGATCTCTAAATATTACTACAAGATATTTCTTTTTTTTATCAATACAAATAACAAGATACTAACGACGCAGTGTTATCGTCTTTTGTTTTCTCAAACTGACAAAACAAAAGATTTAAGATGTTCACCATTACTTCTCTACCCTACCTACTAGGACTTCTGAGGGTAGGATATAAAGTCTAACCTACAACGGGACGAAATAAATTTAAAAGAACAAGTACATTTTTCAGTTCTAGAAGATAACCGTTACCTAATAACTGAACACCTATCAAAATACGAAGAAGGTGGGATTCACCTACCGACCAACACATCTCATCACATGTAGTTAAGGTTTTTTAACGTATTGTTCTTTATAAGTCCTTTATTACCAAGGCAATTATATATTTTGATAATGTGTTAAACGTAAAAAGCATAAAACGCTAGGCTAAGCTAGTTCCAATACAAAAAGTTATGATTAAAAATGGAACTGTATTTACGCTAACATTTTCTTAAGTTTGAGGTACACGCGAGATTAAATGTACAACAAATGTTTTAAACATATTAGTAAGGTATTTGAATAATATTCATTAAAAATACTTTATTACTAAATGTGTCTATGAGACTAACGAGTATTTTTTGACAACTTGACAACTTGTGTTTGATAGTCTTATTTGTCTATACGAAAAGTACAAAGAAAAATTGTAAATAAAGTGTTGTACTAATTCAACATTAAATTACCCCAAATATCAATAGATCGTCGATCATAGTACTTTGAATTTTTGTAAACTCCTTATTATCTGTGACTTTTCGTACTAATGCAACACATCTCAAGGTAGATCTTATCACTGTAGCTACGGTTTTCGAGACATTTGATAAGTATTGTTTCATTACAAATACTTTGTTCATATATATATAATTTCGAAACAAGATTTTAATAGTCTTATCGGTTGTCTGTTTGTATGTTGTAGTAATCTCTTAAATCTTTTCTTCTTCTTGGCGATTATGCTCAGATTAAGTCAACAAGGGTAGGCTTCATCAAAATCGAATGCTAGTAAAATAAGCGACAGTACAAGTTTTCGTATCTGTTCTTATGTAAAAACAAAAGACAAAATAATCCATAAAGTATTTCTCGATTGTTAAACAATTCACATTTTTGAAATTTTCATATGAAAATAATTTATTCTACAAAATGAATATGTATTCAACGGAGATCGCCGGCGAATGCTATTAAGACTCTTAAAAATAATCTAAATTTGATGCTAATAATGCCAACGCGGAGCCAGACCGTGAGTCTTGGCAATATAAATAAAATATCTTGCACGGTGTCGCTGCACTGTGGATGATGTTCGTAAGAATTTGCATAAAACATTTATTTACCACAGACAAAACTTACATCACTTATAGTCTTATAAACGTCAATAATAGCTGCTGTGTCATTGTTATATTGCATGAAATTTTGTTCAGTAAAACGTAATAGTAATAAATTAGTATTAGAATTAATTTTCACTGTGATTGAAGATTTACAAAATCACAACAAATATATTATCGACATAGACTATATAATAGTAAATACTGTCTATGTTTACGCGAGTGGTACACATTTAAATAAAACACTTTAACGGTTTAAAACGCGATATATTAGTTATACTTATTTATTGAAATTTGCAGCAGCCGAAACGTCGGGCCGAATTTAAAAATCATTTTCAAATAAGTTTAACTAATATATCGCGTTTTAAACCGTTAAAGTGTTTTATTTAAATATATAATAGTATTTTAACGGGCTAGTTGGTTTAATGGTAGCAATGTATGGCTAATAATCAATGGGTCGTGGCTTCTAATTTTCAATTAATATTTTTTCTCAAACATGCTGGACTTCGTCTGGATATTGAATGGGTGGTAGGAATATGGAAATTCCGTCTGGGTTACGAGCCACCGTCCACTGATGAAAGAACTGAAGCTTAATCGCGTTTGGGTTTCAGTCTGTGGATTTCCGAATATCCAAATCTAAAATAGGTCGACAGCGCATCTTGTTTAGATGCTATAGGCTGGGGTATCTCGTCCTCCATCAAGTGAACCCCGTGCCATGTCTGTCCTCCACTATCATACAAAAAACATACCGTTTCAACATATTAGGCATTATACACACTTCACTCTCGCATATTACGAGTTATTTTCAGCACTGACTACAATACACTGTTAGACTTTTCCACATCTTTCTCGGGTTTTTATCAATGACAGATTCTCTCAGCATTATCACGACTCTAATCTAAGAACAACACGTCAATCATGCGAAGATGGTACTTATCTCTGGCGTTTGATAAGAGTACCTACTTTCATTTTTGCCTCACGTGGTAAACACAGTGATTGCCGACAACGGCGGCTTTTGGTTGCTGCACGAGTAGGTAGCACCTTAGTGGAACAGCTCGATCCGAGAAACCTAAATATATCAATGGCAACTGATGTTGTTTTTATGGGTAGTTTTTTCAATTAGAGAAAAGTTCCAGCAAAGGGTCAAGAATTACACATTTTGAACTACCACCACTACCACTAACCTACCTACTCTATACATATACAGCCTAGTGAAAAATTTAGGCGTAGAAAGAATATTTTTTATTGAATTTAATACTGTACATATTATGTTAGTAAATCGTTTTTTTTTCGTTTATGCGTATTTCTTATCGGAACCGCAAATGAGGTCTATTCGGCTTATCAAAGTTTAAAATGGTTTCCCGCGTTTTGAAATGGATTATTTGTTTACGAAGCTGTAAAATGACAACTGACATGTGTAATGACAATTGACATCTATATTTGTGCACCGGAATCAATGTGTGGTTCAAAAATAGAATATAACAACCACTGAAATGTAATTATTGCAGGTTTTAGGTAATGTATCCATATGAATAAAACAGAACCTTAAAAGTAACAAAATAAACAGATAAGAATGCAAGACACATAATTGTTTACAGAACATAAATGCACCTTAACGCAACAGCAATAAAACAGTATTTTCTTTGAAGTTTTGCGGCTGTCTTAATTAAGGTCATTAATAGGTTAATGACGTATCAAAATTGTAGAACTAAAATTGTATATATCATTTAGATAATAAATATTTTAATAAGCAAAGGAAAAGCTGATTCATTAATACGCTATATTATAAATATTCCTCCTTAAGAAAAAAATATAACATCTACGTCAAATAATGTAGGTAGGTATCTGTTAAATATGAGATTAATAGTTTTTCTACGTCCTATAACGGCTAATATAAACGGTTTTTAAATTAATATAGATAAGTAGACGGTACTCATTGCAGTGCACCTGTCGTATTGTAATTTCTTAAGAATAATACAAATACCCCAAACATTCGTTACTCTAATGACATCCTATTATAAGAAGTAATTTTCAGGGTTATTACAACACTATCTGTTCTATTAAACCGACATAGTTAAATGTTAATATTATTGTTGTTTATAATTTAAAAGTAATTAATTAGTACTTACCGGGCTATCGATAACTTTCCACTGGCTTATTTCAAGAACTGCACACAATTGGATGAACGTATTAACTGTTTCACTTTTTTCTCGAAAAACCGTTGAGCGTTTGGTGCGGGTGTGCGAAAGACAACCGTCTCGTCGGAGCGCGAAATAACAACTGTGGAGTGTGGACTGTGAAGTTGTGAACACGAAACAGTGGGGCCGAGCCGACAGTGTACAGTGGAACACGTTTGCAGCGGCCGCTGTTTTCTTCGATTTGTTCCCCGGAAATGCCTGTTAGAATAACAATTATTATTTCGACGAATAATTCTACGACGGGATGAGAGTCCACCCAAAATTAGACATTGTTAGACGAAATTTTGTAATTGTTGTTACCCTAATTAAGTCTATATATAAAATCAGCCAGTATAATCATATTGATATACCATTTCATCGTGATTTGTCTTTGCTTGAACCCTTTTAAAAAATAATTTAATTAGCCAGAAATATAAGCGCAAATAAACTTAAATTGAAACTAGCTAAATTACCTGAAATGGCGTTGGTTTTTGTCCACAAAAATGTTATGGCTATTATTAGACAATTTAAAAATAAATTAACTTATATATAGCGCGTTTCAAACTGAAAAAAAGTTTTTTTATACAAACAAATTACGTATAATAGACAAGTAGTTTCAATTTTGTTTTAAAATAGCATGGGTGAATTTTACTGTATTTGTAATATTTCTTCCGTTGTTTCAATTGATCCTAAGCGTGGTTTTTGACCGATTTGTCTCACTTCATATCAAAGATATACCGAAATTGTAACGCTATTGTTTGCTTAATCTTCTTAATAAATGCGTGTTACAACCTTAAAGTCATTGTTTTACTAAATTCAATAGGATTTTGAGTATAAAAATATTTATAATTTATTATTAACGGCTTTAAAGAACTTTAAAGAATAAAATGTTACCCGGATTAACATTTAAATACCTAGTATTAATTTATCTTCAAGTTCTACCCTAATATATAGATTCTTTTTAACGTAATAATTTACATTTCATAGATTAACGTAACTGTCCTACTGACGTTTTAACTTGTCAATAGAGAGTAAGTAATTTAAACAAGCGTTTTAATTTTCGGTTTTACCTCATGGATAAGAAGAAAACGTTTACTTCAACTAAGGCTAGCGATGTCTCACCATTAAATCAGTCTAAAAAAGCGCGAGACGGTTGTTTTGACACGAAAAGTACGTCGCACACGCAGTTTTACGCTAAGCAAGATCACACCGAGTTATATCAAAGAGTAGCTAGAGATGAATATTTGGGCAAATTTGAATCTATATCTGGGTCTTCGGATACTTTCCATTGCGTCCATGGCACTGAAGGAAAACAGTATACCAAGGAGGGTCTTTTGAAAAGGAACCTTTTGAAGGAGTTGGATCCTTTCCCGAAAGGTAATTAAAAGATTACCTTTTACATTTGCAAATCCACAGATTGAAACCAAAAGCAGATTACACTCGATATTTCCATCTGTGTGTTGGTGATGTCTTATGACAATTTCGATATATAAGAGGACCCTATTGGAATCAAAGCTACGGCCATTGAGCTTGTCTATCGGTAATGAAAATATTCGTAATGTTGAAGGCGTAGAATCAAAATTGGAATTAGCTGATGACACATCGTATTTCGTTCACAAACATGCGGTTTCTGGTGAGCACGTGTCAAAAAGGATACGACTAAATATTTGTGATGCACGACTGAGTAAAAACTTCCGACTTCGAAAGTCAGGGCTACCCATCTCTAGATTAAAACGCCCGCGATATAATATTGATGAATAGAAAGCAATGACACCTTGTATTGCGTTGGAAAATAAACTTTCCCTTACCCACATACCCTTCTGCCTTCATATTTTTATTACGATTTCTCGCGTGCCACTATCTTGACCTCGAACCATACTATTGTTTGACGCCAATAATAGTTTCAATGGATGTAGTGCCCATGGACTATATTTTTGTACTTAATTTTCTATCAATCGAGAAGGCTGATTAACGATTTTCCAACCTTTCACCAAGTGACACATGGTGTGTGTGATATCCCTATAAGATAAAGAACAAGTACATTTTGTGGCCGATTCATTGGTTGTATTTTTTTAAACCTTTATTTAACGGGCCTTACTAAGTTATGTCGCGCCATAGAACCAAAAATTTACAAATTAATAAACATGACATTTGTATTTATTTTATTTTATTAAACTAATATATGTATTAATATATTTTGAAAATCAAAGAAACATTCATGATAATCTTCAGCTTGGCGAACTAATGTAACCTTACCCCATAGATACCGTAGATACCTAGAAATATATGTATACTAGCTGTGCCAGCGACTTCGTCTGCGTCGAATAGTTTTTTTGGGGCATCAAAAATCGTTTTCCAGCCCTTATCTTTATACATTGTAGCTGTTACGACATCGGCCGCGTCCCTCGTCGGCGCGTCGTTCTTACAAGCTAATCTTAAATAAAAATAGGTAAAAAAACTTTTTAAGTGAAACGGTTTTATGTTAAACATGTCCCAAGGTTTTATTTTAGTCTAGTCTATGTATATGTTTATAATTCCCACGACTGTATCTATTTTATTATTTTTTGGTATTTAGTACATTTATCTTAAACATTGCAATGTATGTTTAACATAAAACCGTTTAACTTAAAAACTTTTTCTACCTATTTTTATTTTTTAGTTTTTACTTTTTATTTCGCATTCTGTTTAATTCATTTAGTGTTTGTTGGTACTTGTTGAGACCTTTCATTTGATACCCATGTTGATGGGATTGATAAAACCTAAGTTATCCGCCATTTTGTAGAGGCCGCCATCTTGGATTTATAATGATAATGAATAAACATAATTGTATTGTCACCAAAATCCAAAGTGTATACAAAATTTCAGATTAATCGGTTGACAGGAAGAGCGTGAAATTTGACTTACTGAATTTGTCCCAAGAATAAATAAAAAATAAAAAAACGGGGTGAGCTAAATAAAACCGTTTAAAGATACACATACTGTCGCGGACAACAAAAAAAAATTCAACTCGCACCAGTAGATTCTGAGATTAGTGCGTCAAAAAACAAATTCTTAGCCTTTATAATATTAGTATCAATATAAGCTACCTTCTATCAAAATTTTCACAAAAATAAAATATAATTTACCTTTAATATGCAGTAACAATAAAGTGAGCATACTTTGTTTTTAATGTTTAGATCCCGCCTGGAACGACAAATGTCCGCCCGGACTTGGTCGTGAGATGGTTAAAATGCTGGAATTCATGGTTCTGGATCCGGTAATAGAACAGCAGATGGAAAGATTCGAAGACCACCTCCGAGATTTCGCAAGAACTAGCAGTACTGGATATGTATCCTTTTCAAATAATTTAGTCTTAGAGGAATATGTTAATACAATGTTAAATGTTGGTCTCATGTATTTTGAAAAAAAAAATAAAAACAGACAATTCCTCTATTGTAGTTGCAGTGTATATTTTTAATCTAAGTCCAGCCTGTGTTTCTCAATCTTCCAAACCTCAAATACAACAAATTCCGATGTGAGTTCAGTTAATCGACAGTTTGGGAAGCGTTTGCATAATACTCGAATATTTGCTGGAGAATATACCAAGAAAAAAGCACTTACGTGAAGGTCTAACACTGCTTTTAAGAAATATGGAGAAACCCATTCTATTGACAGCCGCTTCTGATGTTGTAACTCATTTTGAAGCTCTTGAAAAATATCTTGGCTACATGGGTTAGTACTTCGTCGTTGTCTTGTTGGTCAAGTGGTTAGTGCACTAGACTGGAAATAACGAGGGCCAGGTTTAGACCGAGTCGTAGTTACAACTGCAGAACTTTTAATTTGAAGGTAAGTTAAACGTTAAGAAAATAATAATAATAATAAGTTAAACGTTAAGATTTATGCTACGAGAAACAGGGATGAACCCGTAATAGGATGTCGATCTCCGTCTGTAGTTTATACGATAAACTTATTTGAACATTATTTTAACTACCACGGCAGCTGCAAAACGTCCAAAATGTCGGGCCATAGTAAAAATATTTTTTAATTAAGTTTAACTAATATATATCGCGTTTTAAACTATTAAAGTGTTTTATTTAAATGTCGATCTCTGTTACCATTACAATTGTGTGGCGATAGTCGTTAAAACTAAATATTGTGAATTTAAAAAAGACACTACAGCCATAAGTGAAAATAAAACTGAAATAAAAAAAAATTAAGTACCTAAATACAAGCTAATAAAACAAGAATAAGGTGTACCTTAGTACTTTCATCTGTAAAAAGATAAAAAAAAACAGAAACGCTTTGAATTGCGATTATATTACGAATATTAGCAGTTTAATATTTCACATTATATTTCTATGAGAACTAAAATCCGCTGACTATGTTTAATGTGATATTAAACACCAGTACTAGGAATTCCCTTGATTATATTGAGTTTTCAGTAATACCTATCACGTTTGTAATATAATCTACAAACGTGATTTACTATTCGTTCCGTTTAAACCAACCTGTGTTAGGTATCTAGTGAAATAAGGAATTATAAATATTCGTTATTTTTATGTTGTTACAATTCTAACAAATAATTATTAATAGTGTATTAATTCCGACCTAATTTGATTTCCTTAAAAACAGTTGTTGCTATCTTAAAAGATAGACATAGTATCGCGGACTCTTTCAATTACACATTTTGGGCTTTTTGTATCCGTTTTCGCAGCGCACGTGACGGCCCCTATTGGTTGTAACTGTGTGCGTTGATATTGTATAGACAAATGGGCTTTCCAACACAAATATAATTTTTCAATTCGAACCATTCGTTCTTGAGATTAGCGCGTTTAAACAAACAAACACTTCAGCTTTATAACATTACTATATATGTATCGTTAAGCGTTAGTAGGTGAGAAAAATAATTTAGACCCACCACGCTTTTCCAGTGAGGGTTGGTCTATCGTCACTGAGCCACGCTATAACATGTTATTAGGTAGGTGTACTAACTACTAGACCAACGAGAAGTTATTAGTTGATATGAGCTTAATTTATTAGGAGATGGGAATCCTTATAAAGATTATTAATTCAATGACTGTTTTGATTTTTTTGTAGGTTACCTTTTGACTCAATTGGAGGATGACGAGCTGTTTGACATAGTATCCAGGGCGTTGATTTGGCAATTATCTGCGCCAGATACGGCTCGCGGCCGCGGAGCAGCACATTTACGTCACAATCTTGCTGCTGCTGTTTACCTCCACCAGACCATAGTTCGAATGCTGGCACTGTCAACTTCTCACAGATATCCGACATTTCAGCAAGTGGCGTTACTATTAGCATTGTATTCCTCAGATAACTGTAAATGTCACTTATAAGTTCAAACATGGTTATTTTGCTCGACTTAGTATTCAAACCCGAGGCTAATGATCTGCGGCCGGTCATCAGTCTTAAACACTATTCGTCTGAAATAGTTACTTTGGGGATCAAAGATTTTCATGCAGACAAATAAATTCTTCGCTTCTATTGGTCGCAGCGTAGCCTTTCTTGATAAATGGTCTAGCCAACACAAAAAAGTACCTATATTTTCAATTTTAACGAGTAGTTTCTGAGATAGCCGCGTTCAAACAAATAAACTCTTCAGCTTTACAATATTAGTATAGATTCGCTTAGTTGTTGATAAGTGTAGTTTTAATAATATGTAAATTGAATTCCCTTCAAGGTCTGGAAATGGTAAAAGAAAATATAATTGAAAACGTAATGTATCGTTTTAATCCTTATTTCCCGAATAGAAAACTACCCGAATACGACATTAACCCTTCAAACCCACAAGACTATAATGTTAAACTTGGTTAGTAAATTATACAAAATTTTAAGTAGAAGTAGTAGTAGGACGAAAATAGTAATAGTAAGACGATGTTCGACGGGATCGTTGGTTCGATCCCCACCAGGTCCAAAGTGTTTAAAATTTTTCAATTTATAATATTTCTGATACATGCTGGACTTCGTGCTGGAAGTCTGGATACTAAATGGGTGGTAAGAATATAGAAATTCTGTCCGGGTAACGAACCACCGTCCACAGATGAAAAAGCCGTGAAGCTTAATGCCATTTCGCTTTCAGTCTGTGGAGATATGAATATGCAAAGCGAAAATACATTTACAGCGCATCTCGTTTACTGGTTGCGGTATATCACCTACCATCAAGTGACCCCATGCCATGTTAATACTCTATCATTAAAAAATAAATAAAAAATGCCGCAAAATCTTATTTTCGGTTTAATGTATATTACGTACCAAGCGTGAAAATAATTAAGTCATAAAACATACAATGCTGCGAATTGAGCCGTCGTGAGTACTCAGTTGTCGTCGAAGGTTCGAATCCAACCAGAAACATAAATGTTTCTAAATTCAATTAGTTTTTGTTGTATTGTAATTTTCAGGCGACAGCAGTATAAATCTATCAACGACTATGTCTCTGCTTTTAGTCATTTTGAAGAGTACGTTAGATATATTGGCAACGAGTCCAAAACAGATACTTCTGATACCCTGCCCTGATGAATATTCTCAAAGGTACAGCTAATACAAAAGTATGTGAGGTCATTTTTTTGTTATTATTTCACGCGACTAAATGGATTTTATGGTCATTTACAACTTTACAACGGCTTTTAATTATAATTTGTAAGGTCTTTGACAAAATAATTAAAAACATCGACTTTGCCGCCTTACTAAAAGATGCACGAATGCTGTGCGGCAGCCGTGGTCACGGGGAAACCACGGCTGCTGCAAAGCATCCGAAACGTCGAGCTGTAATTAAAATAATGCTCTAATAAGTTTAATTCAAGTATAACGCGTTTTAAACCGTTAACTACAAACAGTATTTAGACTGACAAAAATTAGTATTTATACATTAGTGTATTTGCATGAGTTCAATAAATCAACTGTTTTAAACGCCATCTATATTAGTTAATTAATTTTTAACTACCACACGACGATTGGGGTTTCACAGCATCAACGGTAACGAGATTTAATTGACTAGAATCTGTCGCGCTTGTTGATCATATTATAGCAATATTGGTATCATGACTCATTCTTACATCATTGTGTTTAATATTTTCTTTGATTGTTATTTGAATATTGAATAATTTATATGTATAGTAGGCTTCAAAAACGGAGTTCAAAATCCGATGTTATGTATCTTTATTATGTTGCTTAAAATTCATTTGAAATTGTTTACGTAACATACGTCATGTATATTAAAAATTAACAGTTTTGCTTCATTAAATTTGAGTGTCCCACTTATATAATTGTCAGGGAATAACAAGAGACGGATAATCGGTGATTGAATGATTAGGAAGTTATTTTTTTTTATTTGTTATTAAGTCTTTTGCGTGATACGGTAACGTGAACAGTTGATCTCAAGTAAAAACATACTAATTAAAAAATCAACTTATGTGCTTTATTTTTATTGCGCCCTATTCTCAACAAAAAAAATCAACTCTTTAATTAATAATCGTGACTTGGGGAAACTTTTAGCAGCGCTAGATTGTACATTGGCGTGATAGTTTTAAACTTGTTAGGGGTCGTTCATTAATCACGTGAGGCTTGAAAGGGGGGGGGGGAGGGGTTTTAAAAAAAATCACGAAAATAACACAAGGGGGTTGTAGTAAGATATCGTAGTAGATTATAGTCTATACCTGTATTTAAATTAAGATAATATTCAGAAAATTTTAAGATTCTTTGTAGGTACTAAAAATACACGTGATGTTTAGAAGGGGGAGGGGGAGGGGGGTTGTCTTAAACCTCACTACGTCTCACCAATGGGGAGAAGGGGTTAAAAAAATCAAAAAAAAAGATCACGTGATTAATGGACAACCCCTTAGTAATATGTATTAATTTTCGTCGGTAAAGATTATAAATCAACGGTCGTTAGTTCGATTCCCACGGGGTTCAATATTTTTTTGATACATCTTAATCAGACTTCGACTGCAAACTGGATATTAAATTGGTGATAGGAATATTGAAATTCTGTCCCGATCGCCGGCGTAAGTAATTTTAATCGCGTTTTAGTCTCAGTCTATGGATTCTCGAATATCCAAAGCCAACATAGGTCGACGGCCCATCTTGTTTAGATGTTATGAAGCCCCTACTTGTCTTGTCATACTGTATCATAAAAATATAACTAACACACCTCCTTTTGTTTTAGATGTTTTTTGTGGGCCTTCCGTTATGAATGTAGGGCCAGGGATCACAAACACGAACGGACTACACTAACGTGCATAGCGAATGCGTTATTTAGAGTTTTTGGTGACAGGTTAACTGTGTTTTCCAATTCTCTCATGCTTGGTAATTATTGTAATAGTATTATTATAATAGATTTCTCTTAACTGGCTGCATACGACGATACCTGCTTTCGGATTTCGATAGATCCTGCATTTCTCTATATGAATGCCAAATGGATTGTCGACGAATATTCCTATCACCCAGATAATATCCAGTGAAATTTAACGGTTTAAAACGCGATATATATTATTTAAACTTATTTGAAAATTATTTTTAATTTCGGCGGGATTCTGAAGACTCCCTGTGACCACGGCTACTGCAAAATATCCAAAACGTCGGGCCGAAACTAAAAATAATTTTCAAATAAGTTTAACTAATATATATCGCGTTTCAAACCGTTAAGTGTTTTATTTAAATGTCTACTACTCGCAGTATTAGAGACAGTATTTAAAATTATAATTTGTTTGATTATGTTGGACCCGGTGGGAGTATAAGTAGAGGTAATATTCGCTACCATTAAAACCACAGACCAGTCAAAATTTTAATTACCTTTTAAATTGACTATTACATATGAGTATTATTTCTAATATAGATCGATTTTAAATTTTTATTTCGTCTTAGTGTCATATATATTTGCAGATGTACTGTCTTTGTCAGTCCTATCAGAAGTACCGTCAAGGCATAATTGGATACGCGGTGTTAATTTCAATACAGGACAATTTGATGCGCAGTTTAAAAAAAATCTAATATACCTCTCCGTGGATTTTATTAAGACCTTTTCCTACAGTCGTTTTGTATGTATCTCTCTAATTTTTAAAACACTGGTAGTGCGCGCTCGTCGGAAGAATTGACGTTTATCCGGGTTAGAACCCAAGTACTTAATGTTATGAGGACCAAAAGAGAAGGATCGAGGTCCTATTGACAAAATTTCGTCAAAATCGACCGATTCTGTTAAAAGTTATTGAAGGTAGTTGAATAATAGAATACGTTTTTGTATAATTATAAAGATAACCACGATTCCTCTTTATAGGCTGTGGAATCTGAACACTGGCTGCTAGGAGTAATGTACTTAATAGACCCAGGACTCAGCAGCCTGAGAACTAAGTGGTCTCCAGCACTTTTCGCAGAACTGCGCAAGGTGGCGCTGCAGGCTCTCGTCTGTACAGTACCTCTAATGCCGTCAAAAATTATAAGGGAATATGGCCTTGTAAGAAGGTAGGACTGTGTCTTTAGCGCGAGAGTCGATTGTTTCGGTCGGGCTGGACACAGAAGGCTGATCAACTGCTCACCTGTAAAAGATCCGATTAGTAAAACGGACACAGATATGTGTTCGATTGAAATTCCATTACCAACAGAGGAAACGGGATGAAACTTTTATCGCTTTTATTGTGGCTCGGTTGCGTAGTGAATGTAACGGCCCTAGATTCAAATGTCGGGGAAGTAACATTTCGTGTTTGTTTATTTATTTGTCGTTTCCCCAATATATTATTAAAGTTAATATAACTTTACCCTATCATTTTTATTTACCGAAATTACTCTTGTCTTTATTTTACGCCAGTAGTACAGATTTAAATTTGACACTATTAACGGTTTAAAACGTGAAATGTATTATTTTAATTTATTTTCATTATGACCCGATATTAAAGACGGCATTAATTTTAGCCCCTCAGTTACCACGGCTGCTGAAAAGCATCTGAAACGTTGGGTCGTAGTTAAAGTAAATTTAAATGAAACTAGTATCCAAAGACCCGACTAAGATTTGAACCTGGAACCTCTCGCAATCTATTATTGTTTACGTTTTAACTAATAAGCCACAGAGGCGATCAAAATATATGTGTACTTTTATGTCTTTCTACGAGTTGCAGACTAATGTGGTACATAGAATGGTACTCTGAAGTACCTTTTGAGCTTCCGGTACTGTATTGGTGTGTCAGAGTCCTGCAAGTGTCGGTCCAAAGAGAGCCTTCAGCGAGACAAGACTCGATCCATGATTTATTTGAAACGCACGGTATCATTATATTGATGCGTAAGTTATTTACGAAACAACGATAAATAAAAGACGTAAGAGAGGAAGGGATGGCAGTTTATATTATACTAGCTGTGCCTGCGACTTCGTCCGCGAGAATCGTTATTTTGGGCGTCCTAATTAGTTGTTGCAAACCCCGTTACCTTTATAAACTTCAGCTGTTAGCAACGACGTTCGCGTTCGCGAATTGCGAGTCGCGAATTTAGATCATTTAGAGAGAAATCATTCTTTTATACAATGTTTTTAGGTATCTTGAAACCTTTTTGGCAGCGTACGCATCTGAAATCCAGTGAGATGAAAAATCTCACCCTCTTTTGTTCACATTTCCCGCTGTATCTTCTTTTTTATAGCCTATAGCGTTCCTCGATAAATGTTATAACCAACACAAAAAGAATTTTTCAATTGGAACCCGTAGTTCCTGAGATTAGCGCGTTCAAACAAACAAACAAACTCTTCAGCTTTACATATAATTGAAAAATATGTTTGTTATCTACTACTACGCTCTAAGGAACACAAAAATATTTTTCAATTCGTATGAAACATCATGTTTCGACTAATAGAAGCTTAGGAATAGTGAGAAATGTAAAAAAAATGTGGGTTTCTGTTGCCTACGCTGAGAAATTTTTTGCTTATTTAGAAGTATATCTAAACTTTTTGCTATTAATAAATTCTATATAGTAACATTTAAATTCTACAGTCTTTTAGTATCCCAGAAATCTTTTTGTCTTACAGATCTATGCTACACGCTTTTAAGTCAAAAGTTGCCGCCCGTTGAAAAAAGCCAAGCAATTATAGCTGTGTGTCTCCAACTGCTTACCAGTGCGGTTCAAGTGAACGCCAGGATAACGTGCTGTGTATACCCGGATATAAAATGGCCGGTCTCCACCGGGAGACTTGCGAAAAAAATGCTAAACGATCTCTTGTATGCCATGGACAAACATTTAATTGTCAGTGACAAGTACGTCTTAGAGTTTTAAATGTAATTTTAGATTTTAGAAACGGAAGCTCTAATATATGAAATTGTCTTCGATTTTCAAAAAGTTATATACACACCGTTTCAACTGAATTTATAAAAAAAAGAAACGTACGTTGATCACCCAAATTATAGCTAAAAAGTGCCCAGTTGTATTGCTGTCGTCACACAATCGCTACATAATTTATATTATTAGTCGTCATGAACATATTTACGAGTAACATTCATTTGGAGTGATATTAAAAATGATTTTCAAATAAGTCTTACTACTTAATACCGCGATCTAAATCGTTAAAGTGTTTTATTTAAACATTTACTGTTCGCGTAAACTACAGACCGTTTAATGAAATAATTTTTCAAATTAGTGTAACGATTTTTAAGATTGGCTCAGTGAAACAGACATACAGACACTCAATTAAAATTATAAATTATGCAGAAGAAACCTGCCCAAGTTGTTCTCATTGTATCGCAAAAACTCTGAAACCTTCATGCACATGTATAAATAGTTCGTAGGTACTAACAAAGTTTCCCACATGTACTAGGAGTGCATAAGATGTCAGCAGAGTGCATTGATCGATTGCCTCATCCCAACGAGGTGTGATTGTGGTGTGAGGTATTCGCTGTTATCCCTGTGTTCCTATTGGCTTGCTTCTAGCCATTGAGCTAGACTTGTATGGGAAAAGTTTAAACCTTGCTAGGAGCGGGTAGTTTCAACTTGTCTTAACTCTTGTTTTTCGTCACTTAACATAATCATTAAATTCCATATACGTTTTTGTTCGTCTAATGCGGCCGCGGCGTAGATATTTTCTACAGACCGCTGACGAAGTCTATAAAAGACTTTTTAGCGGTACACTAAAAATAATATAAAATACATGATTACACGAATAAGTGCATTACAACCCAATGCGCAATAAAGATATGTTAAAAAAAAACTTGAAATGAATTTTATAAATATAGTGTTATCGTACTATTTGTTTTATCGTCAAAGCTGAAATTGAATAAGTATGTTAGACACCAAAAATTTTTGGCCCGCCATGATTTTCTTTTCGCCCCTTTTTTTTTCATTGGCTCACCCCTCTCCTAATGAAACGCATGGGTTAAAGCAGTATACAGTTTCAAAAGCCAAATATCCAAAGCCAAAATAGGTCGAAAAGTACTTGAACTTAATGTTTCTTTTTTGTATATATTTTAAGATTCTTTGTAATTTTCTAGGTGGATAATTTCTTTAGTAAACTTCATTTGGGAAGCGATTATATGGAAGAAAGAGTATAGAGAATATTTCATATTGCAAGACGGGTTATACAAACTTCTCGATCTCATAACGGTAGGTAATATATTAATTTAGAAGATCTAAATATTTACGTCTGTGGTTTACGCTAGTATCAAACACATATAATACACTTTACATAGGTAAAAACGGGTAATAATTTGGTTAATCACCGGCTACTAAAAGCATTGGGATATAGTTATCGTATATCTTATAATCTATTTAAAATTGCTTTATGTAGAATTTCCATTTTCTTTTGTTATTAACGGATTCGTCAGTAAAAAAGATTCCAGGTTCGAATCCCGGAGTAACCAATAGTTTAGTTTTAAATCGTACAGTGAAACAAACATGTTGGGAAGATATAAATAGTTAAATGGAATATTATTTTTAAAATTACGTTTTCTTAACAATGTTTGTTATAAATATAAAACACATTGTCTAGATTACTAAATAAATAAATACTAGACAATATGTGTTACACATTAGTGAGGCACAAAGAAGGTTAATTTTGAAGAGACTGCACAATTGTTTTCGTCGGGTAGGACACAGTAATATCTCTGCCCCACACGAGACCGGGGTTTAACTAAAACTTACGTATGCCGAATATTTTATACACTTGAGTAACATGCTTGTTCTCACACGTTAATTAATAAAACTGTACGACTCGTCTCAAAAGCCAATTTATTTGTGTTGCCAACAACGGCGGATATTACGAGTAGAAGATTTAATCAAATTGAGGATGAAGTCGTTAACTTACACGTGTATTTAATAATTCTAATAAAATAAATAATAAAACATTTAGTTGCAAAATAAAATAAACATTATTTTAGCTAAAATTAAGGCTTAAAGTTGAACAATAAAAAAATATTGGGGGTGGGTATTTACTATATGGGGGGTAACGGTGGCTATGGCTAATATAAACATAAGTTTTAGTCGTGAAAGTAAAAATATTTAAGTCCTTTAGACCTAATATTAATGGCTCGTTATCCATACAGATGGTCAAACCACCGATTCAATGTATTACCCTCGCTGTTGTCTGTGACATTGTTCGAAGTGGAGGGGCCATTGGACAATTGGTGACTTGGAGGGCTAATCAAAGTGCTTCACATGCGGTAGATCATATAGACATGTTTGAAAAAATTATCTGTCACGCTAAGTAATTTTAAACCCCCCCCCCCCCAAATATGTTACTGCCTTTATTATATTGTATTGTTATACTCGTATAATTTTTTTTGGAAATTAATTTACCAACAACATTTTGACAGGTTCGTTGGTTTAATAGGAGCAATAAATGGCTTATTTTCTTGGGGTCACGGATTCGAAAGCGACCGGCTCTAACAAATTTAATGTTACTTATAATTATTTTGAAACATCTTGCATGTCGTATTGTAATTTTCGACTCAAATAGACATTTCAAAGGATTTCCGAAAATTCAAAGATAAAAAAGGTTGACGACGCATCTTTTTGAGATGTTGTATGTCTGGTTTATTTCAGCTGCCATGCTTGTTTGTCCTCGATCATGAAAAACGAAAATTCACGACATTGACATTTTGCAGAGTCCAGGGATCGTCAACCGGGGTTCAACTATTGCAGCACTTCTGGCTGCGGTCTTCCGAGACGAATGCCTAGCTACAAAAGTATCCATCGACGAATACGGCGTTTTACAAAGTAATTACTTTAAGAATATAAAAACTATCGATACAATTGCATTTTGCTTATCCATGCTTTCATAACTGATCGTTGGTTCAGTGGTTAGTGAAATGAAATCTCGCTTGGAAACTATTCTTAGATAGCTGCGACCTTCTTCTTCTAGGCAGATTGCTATGAAGGATATTTATTTTAAATTAGAGAAATTAAGGATAAACTAATAATAATACAAAAGGAAATATTCAAGTTCAAAGCGATAAATCTGAAAAGAACTTTGACAAATATTCTAAACAAACTAAGTAGCTTTGAAAATAACTTTTTAAGTGAAGCATAAAAATGTTAAACAAAAATCGAAATATTCAATGTCGTTCGCGCCCACTGCGTAAGGAGCCCACTGCCCCTCTATCGTCGAATTAGATACTCAATGCTCGGCATGGAGGCCACCGCCGGAATGCATTTTTATTTTAACTTCGTGATATTTTTTGAATGGAACGGCCGATTTCAATAATTAAAAAAGTAATCATCAGGTATTGAGACAGTCTTGATATTAAATTATTTATTTGGATAAAAATTTATCAATGGTATGGATAACACGGTCTGATTTTGATCGGCATTTCTATTAATTTGTTAAATGTAAAAAAGTAGTTATAGCGACGTAACTACAATAGTTAGACATATGCTCTCGCGATGTTTTTTGTAGATATTGATATATTCTATAATATTGTCGAACATTTTTTCGTCCTATCATTAATACTTTTCGCAGCGCATGCGAAGAAAGACATTTTACGGCTAATTTTTTTACGCCTTCCGTTGGTTTTAGTAAGAATTTCTATAGATGCCTATAGTAATCGAGTACTAAATATAGCCTATGTTACCTAGTGATAAAGTAGCTTTCTAATGAAAAAAGAATGATTCAAATCGGTCCAGTACTTTTTGAGTTTATCCGTTACATACAAATCTTTCCTCTTTATAATATTAGTATAGATTAGTATACATAAATGTCACGTTTTCTTACACGATTGAAATCACTAGCGGCGATCCTGAAACGCGCTGACAAAGAATTCCCTTGAAAGTATAGAATGATATCCAATTTTTGCATACATATTTCCTTTGCAAAATAAAACTTTAAATTAAGTTATAGTTTGCATAGGATCTGATATTATCTATATCTGCATGTTCGTGCGCGACGACTATGGTTCACATTAAGGAGGACTTCGCACACGAGACACGTGAGGGATAATTTCGGGCTCAGTTTTAACTGGACCCGACATTTGATCCCTCATGTTCGTTCTACACTCGACCTTTGTTATTATTCGATCGACGAGGCAGTTTACTATTGTAATGACACACTTTAAAAACCAATATATATTTAAAAAAACACTTTAACAGTTTAAAACGCGATATATAGTGCAGTCTCCCCGTGACCACGGCTACTTCAAAGCATCCGAAACGTCAGGCCGTAGTAAAACATAAGTTTAAGTTATATATCTCGCGTTTTAAACCGTTGAAGTGTTTTATTTAAATGTGTATTACTCGTTTAAATAAAAACGTATATATATCAGTTAAACTTATTTGAAAATGATTTTTAACAAGCATCCGAAACGTCGGGCCGAAGTTAAAAATCATTTTCAAATAAGTTTAACCGTTAAAGTGTTTTATTTAAATGTGTACTACTCGCCTAAACTACAGACAGTATTTTACCAATATTTAATTAAATATTTGTTTGACAGGCCCGTCGTGGTCGTGGGTTCGATCGCCAATGGGTCAAATATGTTACTAATTAATTTTCTCAGACATATTTAAATTCTCGAAATGTAAATATTAAGTGGGTGGTAGGAACTAAGAAATATCGAAATTCCGTCAGGGTCAACTACTACCCTCCGTATATATAAAAAGCCGTGAAGTTTAATCGCGTTTCGGTTTCAGTCTGTAGATTTCCGAATATTCAAAGTCAAAGGTCGACAACCCATCTTGTTTAGATGTTACATAGCTGGGGTATTTTATCTTCCATCGAGTGAAGCCCATACTAATTTATCCTCCTCCATCATGACAAAAATCATGGCTATTACAGATTTGGAGTATCCGATTTTCTCTATGAACCTCCGAAATATAATAAGCAACAGTTGCGTGGGCAAACATGACGTCACTATGCTACGTCATTTTCAAGAACGCTGTTTCGTCGCCGCCGATTTAGCTGGATCTAGACTTTCAAAGGTAAGAATTTTTTAGAAAATCTATTATATAGTCTGTTCCAACGATTGATTTTATTTTACCAGACCAGACTTTTTTCTATACTTACCCTACCTAAAGTTTTCCCCGGAGTTCGAATCTGGGACTTGAACTTGACCTACGAGTATAGTGGTTCAAATGGTAATAATGAAAAAAATCTTATTTCCCATGTTTGCCCTTTCAGAGTTGAAAACCCTGCGGTCACTATAAAATCTTGCTAGCGTATCAAAAAGATTATAATATAAATACTGTCTTAGTTTACGCGAGTAGTACACATTTAAATAAAACACTTTAACGGTTTAAAACGCGATATATTAGTTAAACTTATTTGGAATGATTTTTAACTTCGGCCGTGGTCACGGGGGGTCTACCCGTGACCACGGCTGCTGCAAAGCATCCGAAACGTCGGGCCGAAGTTAAAAATCATTTCCAAATAAGTTTAACTAATATATCGCGTTTTAAACCGTTAAAGTGTTTTATTTAAAAGATTACAATGTTACAGGCCTACGCATTACTACAATTGCTTTCAGAAGATTTGTCGTTCAAAGTCAATTTGGCGGACGAGGCATACAAATTATATAAAAACATACAATTATCGCCCGAAGATGAGGTACATGTATTTTTTATGCATGTTGGTAACACATTATGTGGGTCGCGAATATGAATCCTACCGGGTACATCACGCTTAATAAATACATTTTTAATCTGTTTAAACAAGGTGAATCTGGGGAGCCAAAACAAAAACTGGTCAGTAACAGAGCCCAAATTCAAAAAAAAAATGTAACGCTGATGCTGGACTGGTCCGTGTTTAAATAAAAATATGTTTTTAGGCCATTTTAGTTCTATGCTCGCACTTCATGACAATAAAGCTGGGTGAATGTTGGTATGAATCGGAATGCCAAGCCAGCGGGTTCTTGCCGTACGACGAAGGGATATTTCGGGAATTCCGTCAGATAAACAAGTAAGGTTATAAATATAGTGATAAGCATTTATTTAAATACTTGGATGATACAGACTAAACCGATGTTTGTAATAATATAATTTTAATGTCGACTTTGATTCTTACGAAGTGAGATTATATATGTATCTTAACGTTTTTATTGCATTCTTATAAATCTTCACGAAATTTTTAACATTTTTCCAATTTCTGCTGAGCTCTTTTACAGTTTAGGGACTCAATAAACATTTTTAAACTTCTTACCTATCTTTTCATTCACTATCTATTTTCAGTGGCTGGGCTAAACAAATTCAAGAAATGCAAGAAAGAGTTATAGCGAAGGATCGGGAAAAGGTAAATACTAATCATTATCTGTCAAGTGTAGACGTCGTTCGCGTGCCATCGTTCTTGCAAGTTATTCTTACATCAAGATCATAATATATAGAGGAGTTATTCTTTCATACATATTTTTTTGGGTATCTTGAACCGTGTTCGCAGCGGAATCTCTCAAAGACGTATAATTATCCCCGTATGTTCCACATTACCCACTGTTACTCTAACCAACACAGATAATAATTTTTAAATTCAAAGGTAGTAGTAATATAGTTCCTGAGATTAGCGCGGTCAAACAAACAAACACAACAAAACCAGATTTATAATATTAGTATTTCAGTTAATATGACTTTCAGCAATTAAACCACGAGGATTCGTTATACGCTTTCCTTGGGCGGGTCCGTTTGAATATCGCGTTGGACGCGTTACGCGAAGTGAAATGCGTTACGCGTTCAGCCGATCGTTCTGAAATGTTGCACGCGATGTTGCTTGATGCGGTACAGGCGCACCATCGCCGGTCGCAAGCCGCTAAAAACCTGGAGACCACCGTCCTGCGAACATTTGGTCCAGCCCTTGATGATCAGGTGGGACAATTGACTATACGAAACCGCTTATAACTTGTATCATTTACACGTAAATTGATAGTTACTTACTACTAGATTTTAAATGTACCCAATTGACAAAAACGTCTCGCTTGTGTTAGCTCGGCCTCTAGTGGGGCCACAAAATATCAGTGTTGGAATATTAGTCCCAACGTAGCTGAGTGGTCGACTTTTGAGTGGCAACTACATTATTGTATTGTATGTGTATATAATTATATAACTGTAACTCTTTTATATAATATTTTAAAATTAGGCATTACTGTAAATTGTGATTGCTTCTGAATAATCGTTTTCCTATTCTATTCACATAGCTTTATAGAATTTGAATTTTTATTTTATTTTATTGATAATAAACTCTATATAACGATTCGTTGCTCCTGTATATTGACGAACCGTTTTGCGTTCGAATCTCGCGTATCTAAAGTGTTTTTTTTTTCAATTACACCTACTGAAAATTGATGTAAGATATTTTGTCTTACGTAATTATTATGTAAATATTTACTGAATTATAAACTTCGTTAAATAACTTATAAGGTTCGTTTAGCATAACAGTTTTTCTGTCCGATGACTAGAACAATTTGAATTCCATTTGATTGATTGTATTTATTGGTCTTGTAACTACCTCCTCTCATATATTACCGTATGTTTCAGAATATAACTGGACAATACGTCAAAGTCTACAGCATATACCCAAAGAATAAACCGAAACCACGAGAAGACTTCTCATCTGCGTATAGCAACAATTAAATAATTAATCCACAGATCATTCGTTTTAAACATTATCGTTTATGTCTATATAATTATGGTAAAGGTTATGCTTAAATAAATATTTATTTATGAAGGTGAATATTTGACACCAATAAAACACGCCAAAGGACATGCTAGAAGTTGGCTTTTATTACAGATACAGAATTTCCCATTTTCAAATTATATCTCCCCATAAACAAATAAATTACAAGCTTCGTAAATTGATACAACGAAATAGTACTAAACATCGATGTAGTACAATTATAATATTTTTCACTAATTAGTGAACAAAAAAACTATTAGACAAAATTGACTGCCTTTAACTCCCGTTGTGACATAATTCTAATATAGCGCACTAAAATAAAAATATGTACAAAAGTCCCTTAAAAGCATACATACTCGTGGGCCGTGATCGTTAACATACCTACAGAATTAAGGTTAAGATTACTTCAGGCAAAGTTATTAAGTCATTCAGGCAAAAGAAAAATAATATTAAACATTTAAAAGTTGCCTGTAATTTCAGGATTATTGAAATTCACAGACGCTATTAGTTGTAATTTTTGAAATTAAGGCAGTAGACATAGCAGTTCGACGAAAAGCGAAAACAATTGTTTAAAGAATAGACGAATCTTTAGCTACTTCGGTTTTGAGCCGTTCAACGGTCGTAATTGAGACATTCTCGATAATAAGCAATAATAAGTTAAAAGTAAAGCCTAGAAAAGAACTATAATTTCCACTTTTGCCTGACCACTGTTAAAAGTGGGCATTACCCTTGTAATGTAGCAAATGTTAACTGTAACTATAGTAATATGAACCAGTACTTCGAGTAGAATTATTTGTTTTGTCTTAAGTGTTGAAGCAAAAATTCTACTTTTACTCCTAGTATCATCGTATTTATCTTTTTACAGTACATTAAAGGAGAATAAAAAGTATAAGGTACTTTTTTAACTAACGTTTTGAGAAGCAGTAAATCTATAAATGTATAGCTATATTAGATACTGTCTGTAGTTTACGCGAGTAGTACACATTTAAATAAAACACTTTAACGGTTTAAAACGCGATATATTTATATAGTTAAACTTGTTTGAACTTTATTTAACTACGGCCCACACAATTGAAAATAATTTTCAAACAAGTTTATCAAATATATATCGCGTTTTAAACCGTTAAAGTGTTTTACATAAAGATATAATGTTGTTAATTAAAATTTTTAAAATTACATCGTATATCATCAGTTACAATTATCAAGAACTCGTTATCATAAGTTAGAACCGTTTTCTAGGAATAAAAACAAATATGTCTACAGATACACATATTATTGGCCGCGATTTTATTTTATTGGCACTTTACGCACATTTTAAATGAAAGGCACTAGATTAGGAGATATTAAACGGAATAGCGGTAAATCCAGTCTCAAACATTCCTGTACCACACCAGAAAAAAACATTCGCTGTAAGATGAAAGGCGTTATGGAATCCAGAGTCTGCTCAATTCATGAAGTGAGGCGCTAGCGAGATGCGATCGACGGTCCATCGAGAACTCTCTTTTTCTTATTAGTTGTTTGCAAGTGAAAGGCCAGTGATAATAGTGGAATTGGGACCGGGATCTTAAGCGTGATGCAACCAACAAAATGTAATCGATTTTTTCGTTAGTTTAATTAAGAAGTATGATTCGACAGAGGCCACTTGTCGACTTTATCGACGTAAATCGTATACACTGATAAGAATTGCTCCCAAACCATTACTCCTTTTACCTTACAACGGGTAATACAATCATAATTTCTGTATTTATCGTGATTAGCGGTTTATGTTCCAAACAAGTGTTAGTTTAAAACACAAAAAATATAGGAACGTATTTGACAGCGCTAGCAGCACGCAAACAGCAGCTAATATTCCTACGATCAATATATTATATTTACGAGTTTGAAGCATCACAGCAGTCTGAAAAATAGCTCTGAGCCAGCGGTGCTAATTATTATACAATTCTGGCATACATATTGCATCATTCATATATCTCTTTGTCCCTGGTCCCACTCAGTTTCCTCATAACCAACCATACAATGGCATGCCCTTAATGTAGCTATACTAAAATGCTAGTAAATTATTAGACCGCAAATTAAAGCGATTCCTTAAAATATGGCAACAAAGATTTGTTAATATTTTAATTTTCAATATGATATCTTATATGATTTCATGCAAGAGGGAAGATTCGATGACACAAGCGAGATTCAAACACACAACAAATACGTCGTTGTTCTAACTGATCTACCGCGTCTTCTATTGACATAGATTTTTTCTTACTTGGCAAACAAACAAACAATTTACATGGAATCGTGATTTTCTCACAAGGTTTACGATGATTCACACTAAAACTACTTTAAGACACTAGATTATATATTAAACTTCTTCAAATTCACTTTGATGAAAAACCAGTTTGATGCAAAAATTAATATAGTTAGTGTGATTGAATGTTTGGGAATTATAGAATTTATATTTCTTTAACCCTGTGGCATCTGTGGCAACGAGTAAACTCCATAAAAGGGCATCACTAATTCTCTATGGTTCGAAATCGGCCATATTTGTTTTAGTCTTTTGCCAAGTTAGAAAAAATACAATATAAGCAGGTACTGTATATCCCTTGGTGGTTGAACTTGAGTCCCGCCTGTATCATAAACATATTCTATATTTAAAAAAAAAACATTCTCATTTTAGTATTTCAAACGTTGACTAGCCTATCAGGAATGCAGCATGGATCTAGTTCTCGTGAATGCCATCTTAAATGACTAGCTAGCGTCAAATATAGGCACTAAAGTACTTCTGAGTATAAGCAATTATAAACTTTATAAATTATATATGTTATATACAATAAAAATAATATGATACCCTCAACATTTTCCAATAATAAAAATGCGTTGATAAAACTATACATATCAAACATAATTATAAATATTAAAAAGTAAGACTAATGTAAAAGACCACAATTGAAACTAATTTAGAAGATGAACAAGATATTTGAAAGATAGAATTGTAAATTAAAAATTTATTCCGGACCTCGAACCGGAACCTTCAGCGTTCCATGGTGTTTGCTTTAACCAATTGAGATACTACTAGACTAGTTCAAGTGCTGTTAGTGTCGTATTTTTTTTTTCTATTTATATAGTGCCATCGTGTAGCATAACGTGTGAAATATATTCGTTTCAAAAGATAGAATTGTTCTATTGCTTACAAACAGTTCAAAATGGATACCTATGACAATAATAATAAAGTACAGTTTTCTTTGATACATCAACTCACTATAGTTAATTTCAAATGAGGTCTATTTAACACTTTACTTGAAACCTTTGAACATGCGTTTATAGTACTAATACATTTTTATCGCTAGTTAGAGCAACATTAGATATATATTTAATTTCAATAGATTCGTAAATTTCATATAATATATCTATACAATAACAATCTATTAAAAGGCATTTTCATTGAGCACAAGAAATGCATAGAGGCCGATACACACTTACAATTGTAAGTTAACTATTAAAGTTTAAACATTTTTCTTTACAATAAAATGTTTCAAACAGGAATTGATACAGAAAATAATTCTAGATGACAGAATTACGTCTGCAATAATAATTTAATCAAAATAACTGTCATATATTTTACATTTAATATTACTTTTTTATAGTATGCCATATTATCGTACGCTAATATCAATAATAACGTACAGGTATTGTCAGGTAGTTATAATTTTATAGGGGTGTATATTTAGAATATCTAGGGGGGGGCTAATGTTAGGTTAAATTTGGGTCTCAAAGTTATACTAATAATAACAAGCTGTTTACAAGTCTTTTTATCCGACCATTTTGAATGTAGAGTTGGTAAATGCCTACTTGCTTATTCAATACTTAAACCCCTTACACTACAAGATATGGTATAATAATTATGCTCTTGAAACAAATCTCTGTGGTCACTGAAGCAGCCTTTTCTTATAAATACTCAATAGAGTACAGTTTGGCTAGTGTATATAACAATATTCTGTTATCTACAATAGATATACTATCAAGCTATCACCATCTTACCAAGGTGATCTGGACACCATAAATGGGGAAAACGCTAAGGAGTTCGACCTAATCAGATATGCCCATTCCAGGCCATAAATAGACATTCGTTTTGGTTAAGAACATGTTTTGTTTTAGTTCTAAAAAACTTTTGATTTGTAGACAGTGTTCACTTATATATTTACACATATAACAACTGTAATCAATAAGGTTACTAAACAAACCTAATCAATGTATGTCATGTCCATTTGTAGCCTGGGATGCTTTTGAGTTGGCAATCCCATTTACGAGTGATCCGAGCCATACTCCGCGTTACTAAACATCGACTCGACCATATTATCGAATTCTGGCACTGCATCTTCATACATCTTGAGCTGTTGCGACAAGGTCTCTGAATCTGTAGACACTGATTCCACGTCTGTCCATGCGTCGCTCGCTGAACGCGCTTGCAAACACTCTTGGTAAAAATTTGCCAATTCGGTGATAGGGCTTCCGTCGGCGAAGGGGAACTCCTGAAAATGTCATATGTAAATTAAATGTTAGAGTTGGTATGAACGCGCTAATCTCAGGAACTATTGGTTGGAATTGATTTTTTTGTTGGTTAGAGCATTTATCGAGGAAGTTTATTAAATATTGCGCTGCGATAAATAGGAGAAATGTGAAAATAAGGCGGGGAAAATTAAATCATAAAAAATATGCATCACAGCCGCGACAGTCTATATTTTAAGATTAGCTTGGAAGAACGATGGGAGTGAAACGAAGTCGTAGTAAAGGCTATAATTTTTAAAGATTTGGAGGATGTTTGCAAAAACAACATTTTATGCCCAAGACTAACTTTTATGCACGACACAGTTTGGCATATTCTTCTTCAGTGGCAGATTCTTTTATTACTTTACTCAATATAATATGAAATACTGTGTGTAGTTTACGCGAGTGGTACATATTTAAATAAAACACTTTAAACGGTTTTAAACGCGAAATATACACATAGAATACACAAAGTAAAAAGTGTTTACTTTAACATTAGAGATACACTTTCCCATACACCATTTTTAGTCTCCCCGTGACCGCGGCTGCTGCAAAGCATTTGAAATATCGGGCCGTAGTAAAATATTTTTCAAACAAGATTAACTTAATTAATATATTTCGCGTTAAAAACCGTTGAAATATTTCAGTTAAATCAACAAGATATTTGTAAGAATCACATTGGGCAAATTATCTTTATCAATAAACAAACACAGAAAGTTTCAGAGCTAGCAACATCAATACAAATTTGCATATAACAGGAAAATCAGATAAGTTTTTTAATTATATAACACGTTTTTATACTAAGATCCTTGGTCCTTGGTTCCCGTCCCAGGGAATTTTTGGGTTAGGCAGGGCACAAAACTTTTATAATCCACTTCATAAAGGTTGGTGACATGCACAGCAAAGTATTCGCCTCTATTACTTCAATATTCTTATTGTTTTTAAAACTTTATTCGTCATTTTTCAATGGTCTTTTTTAAATGTTTCGCTTTAGGTGTTTATTTTAATCGCGATTAAAAGAGTGCTTCACTCTTTATAGAAATGCACAGCAATAGATTAATAAACAAAAATAAACTTTTGAAATAATTAGTTGAAACACACATACCAGCAAAACATATTTTTGTTAAAAAGTAAAACTTACAATATAAACATTTAAAAAATAATGTGACACTCAGCACTTATATATATATTTAAAACTGTGAGAAGCATACAGGAAACAAAAACCTTTTTTTACGACATAGATTTAAAAAAGTCTCAGTGTATAAAAATAAATAGTTTTTAATGACATGTAAAGCTATAGACAAGAAATGTATTAGTATTTTGTCTATAGCTTTGCAATTGTCATATTTCTGCATAGATGCAAAATTCGTTTTAAAGTTATTTTGTCTTTGTCACTTATTGTTGATAAAATTACCATTAATAATAGATAATTTTTACCAAAGTAATAAAAGAGCAATATATTTTTAATACATTACCATCAAACTAGCATATTTGTTTTCCTTTGATTTGGGCACTTCAACAGCTTTACTAGCACTCTGGACCACAACCGCAGGTGATTCATTACTAGGGCCAGGCTTTGCCAGAGCATCAGCCATAGATAGTAATTTCATTTTCTGTAAATATACAGGTAATACGTTAAATAAGATACTTTAAAATTATATTACGACCAAGTTTAAAGTTACTTTTTACTAAATATCATTTAAACAGTAAAAATAATTTAACACTTTATTTTTATGTTAAAATTTAATATTTATAATGAAGATTTAATATAATCTAATATCATTTCGACATAAAATTTAATCTTACCCTTTCCATTTTATCTTTCTCGGCTAGGAGCCATGCCATAGGTGGTTCAGGTGGTAACTGTTGATAAAGTGCATCATGCAACTCTTTTATTTTAACTGTATCTACAAATGCACCAGCTGTCAATGGTTTAGAGAGATCCACTTTCTTCTTTTCATGATAAGTTTTCCTGTAATAATCAAATACAAACATTGTATAATTTGAATATTGATATTTAGAGTTACATCTTACTCGATTTGGGTATTATCACTTGTAAGTATGTTTGTGAGCCAATTTTTTTATAGATGTTTTATACACATGGCAAAATACAATAATAATGAATCTATTAACACATAAAAAATTAACATTAATAAATATCATTGTTGTTATACAGTGGTATTTCTAAAGAAGTAATTAAAAATTTCAAATATTTCATATCAGTAGAAACATTATTTTATGATCAGAGATCTTAAATTCTGATTATTGTTTTTATTTCTTGAGCATATTTTAGGAAAATGTAATAAATTCAGAACAAGATGTAGTTCCACCAATAGAATTTTTCAAAGGCTTTTAAAGAAAAAAAAAACAATGCTTCTTTATTACATGTTAACATTACCTTGGGCTATCCCTTGTAAAGTGATCACTTTTAACCATAATATCACTGTTTGATATATTTTGCACTTCTCCATAGCTTGGGGCTCTTCCCCTTGGTTCTGGCAAGATAGCCATCTCAGTTCTGTACAAAACTTCGATTTGTATCATTCCAATAGGCGTACAGAGTTCACTGACCTTTATTCTTTTATATTTCTCACCTGTGGAAAACATTAACAATTTAATGAATAACACAAAATTTCATCTTTATTCAGTTATTAATTGTATATAAAAATTGTTGGTACATTGAGTAAGTCTGATAAATTATGAATGCATTATATTATATTACACATTTTTTTTATATTTTGAATTTGAACCACATAGTATACTAGTACTATATACTATAAATTAAATTTGAACAAACCAACAGCGTGCCATGCTGCTATTTCAATCTAATATTATATCAGAAATTAATACTGCATTTTTTATATTTTACCTAATAAATTTGAATTGGGTTGCCCCCCATATATTTTGTGTGAGATCTTATAACTATCTTTGTTTTGTAACCGAGACATTTTGTAAGCCGGTGTTATTCTTGATATGCTCAATGTTGATTTCAACATGACACTCATTCTGTAGTAAATAGTTGATATGGAGGTGACTGTAGCGTCACACCCAGGCACCATTTTAACAGTCCAAAGCTCCAATACCATGTCATCTCCATCATTTGTGTGGAGGGATATTTCTATACATAGGGTTTTAGTTAATGCCTCAATAACTTCACCATTTAGAACACACTTTGTATCATTATTAACTTCGGGTACATCTGGTATAGACAGGTTGAACTGTAAGAAAACATCAACACAACCTTACAAGACGACGCACAATAAGAATGTGAATCATGCGGTAAATTTCTAGGCTACAGAATTCCATGTGGGATCATATAAGCCATCAATACTAACAGTATTTGTAAATCATTAGTATCACAAACAATTAATTATAGATTATATAATTACCCATTGTAAGTTGTTTGGCGGGCATGAAATATCTGATACGTCGTCTAGTTTTGTTGTATTGTAAACATGGTTAATTTTTTTTCCCTGTCGACTTTGGACTACGATCTGAGCAACTTTTAAAGTCAATATTTTAGTAAACTTATACAAATTCAATCTATCCTGAGGATCTGTACAGGACATTGTTGTTTTTGCAAAACACTTGGATTTAGAAACAATAACTGCGACACAAAGTCGTACTCTTCGACACCGCCATGACAAATTCCGATAAAGTTTTGATACACTTAACAGTAACTAACAACGAAGATATAAATCAATAATTAAATTTAAGCTTCACATAGACAGCACACGATTTTTAAGAGTATTCATTAATTTCCAAAAACATATTTTGTAGTAGGTATATATTAAGAATCAAATATACTGTACACAGTATATACACAATGTCAAATAAAAAGTTTACTCTGTGGTATTCATTACAATTTAAATTGATTGACAAATTATTGTCTACAACTAGTCAGGTATAGATAACCGTTGGCGAAAATGACAATTTTCGATTTTTATATATGTATTTCCTAATGTATATTTATAATATCTATTAACACAACTTCCATTTTATTTATTAACGTGGCGGTGATAAACTTCTAAATGTGACAGTGTGAAGTTTAGTATAGAATACAGTTTACTGATTGAATTTAGATTTTCCGTTAAAAAAAAAGATTTTCGTTTTATTATATATAATCATGTTAAAACATGTCAATTCTGGGGATAATCGTTAAATATTAATACTGATGACAAAATTTATGATAATATGGTGTTTTAGATGGTTTTATAGTTGCGGTCACACAATACTTTACCACAAAAATGACTAAATATAAGGTAATTATAGTATTTACCCATTTATTAAAAACATTGATCATATTGTATGATAAATAATTACAGTATTACAATTGGCAGACATAAATATTGTCAATCGTCACATGCCTTACAAGTGTTGATAACCTCTGCACGTTTTTAATCTATGATCTAAACTCGCCTTTGAGTTTTCATTGTTAGCTGTTGCGCCTTATGAAAGTTGTTGATTGTTCATAATAATGTGTGTATAACTGTGAGCTTAACTATAGAATATATTAAACATAGGTACCTACTTAAGTGAAATTGAATTGTATACTAGTATAGTGGTGTAAGTACGGAATTGATACGAACATTGCTTTTGTCTTATCTCAACAAAGGCAAAAATAACCACGGTAAAGTAAAGTTACAAATTGCGTATAATCTACAATGTTTTGGACAGTCATTCCCGAAATATAAATATCACAAACGTGCCACCGTGTAAACCGTTCGCCCGCTCTCTCGTTTCTACAAAAATTAAAAATGAAAATTACCGTTACCACGCTAAACGACGACATCTTCGTTCTCGATGTTTCTGAAGATTTGGAGCTTGAAAATTTCAAAACATTCTGTGAAATTGAAACTGGTTTTCCCGCTAAAGATATAATACTAAATTATAATGGGAAACCTTTACTCGACGACAAGAAATCTTTGAAAGAACTTGGGGTAAACGATGGAGACGTGATTGTTTTGATCCATTTGGTGCAGTCAGCTTCGAATCTAAATGCTAGCAATGCTAATCAAGGTAATTAAACCAATTTCCAGATTTCCCCTTGCGTTGTTAAAATTGCTTTGTCATGTTTATTTGTTGTCATTTCTGACGTTGCGTGTTAAACTTTCGTGAGTCGTTTCTCACGCACACTAGAAATACCATTTCTTCGTAAATCAGAGAAACATTTAAGAAAAAAAAAGACAATGTCAAAAAATTTTATCTATTTTTAATACAAATTTACTTTAAATAAGTAACTTTTGCAGCAGTCCCTTCTGGTTTGGCTAATCTTGACTTCAGTAATATTCGAGTACCATCAGCACCAGGGCCATCAATGGCTTCGAGGAACACACCAGTGGAAGAGGATCCCCGCATAATTCGAGAGATGTTTCTGGCCAATCCAGATCAGCTCGCCTTACTTAAACAAAATAACCCCCGTTTAGCCGATGCTTTACTGAGTGGCAATCTTGGTATGTTTACTATTCTAAACACATGAGTTTTCTTAGTATGTTATTTAGGTTTGAGTGATAATGTTTGAATATTTAGTTTAATATTTTGTTTAGATACATTCGCTTCAGTTCTGAGGGAACAAATATCAGCAAGAACTGAACGTCAACAACAAAGAATACGGTACAAGTTAATGTCATAATAATTAACACCTTTCTTATATTACCAAAAGGCTCCCAATCATTTCTTGTGAATCTTTATAGGATGATGAATTCTGATCCATTTGACACAGAAGCTCAAAGGTTGATAGCGGAGGAGATAAGACAAAAAAATATAGAAGCAAACATGGAGGCAGCCATGGAATACAATCCAGAAACTTTCGGGACTGTTGTTATGCTGTACATTAACTGCCACGTGAATGGGTGAACGAATGCATTTTTTTATAAGCATAATTAACTAAGATAAATTTTGGTAATGCAAAGTTTGGAAAATAATAATAATAGGTAGTAAACCATTCAAAAAATCAAATGCAATGGTTATCTCATTTTTATTTATGCAATAATTATGGGATATCCTGGTTTCTACTGACAATCTGCAGAACACAGACTTTTAAAAACTGTCGCCTAATGTAAATGAAACACACATGTGTGTCTGTCTCATGCTTTATGTAAGGGAAATGTGTTCACTTTAGTTTTGCACATATTTCTTTTAGCATTTAGAAAGCATAATTTTATGGAAGATGAATTGCAAATATAAAATAATTACAAAATATGAGTGTATTTACTAAGAGATTAGTGTCTTTATGGACTGATTATTAGCAATGTTAAGGATTTTGCAAAGAAAATATATGTGTTTTCCTTTAATCAATAATATATTGCTATATTTTCAGGTTTCCTGTAAAGGCATTTATAGACTCAGGAGCACAAACTACAATAATGTCTGCGGCGTGTGCTGAAAGATGCAATATCATACGTCTCGTCGATACAAGGTACACTCATGAACTAAATTTAGATTGCAGATTTCCTTACCATATGAAAAAATATGCAAGAGAGAGGCTAATTATAGAGTTTTCTTTATTATTTAACCTTGAATGTTCTTAAGATATTATCAGACATTTTATGTTTTATCTAATTTTAGTTGTAGGTGCTATATTAGATATAAAATGTATTTTTGCTACAGTTGTATTTAATTGTATAACTTCTTTTTCTTATGTAACTTCCACAACTTAGTATAAGATTTAAGTTAATTATTAAAACTTTATAAATTTTTCTTAATGCTGTTTCACCCTTCTCCAACAGGTGGGCTGGTATTGCCAAGGGCGTGGGTGTACAGAGAATAATAGGACGTATTCACATGGTACAGATGCGAATTGAAAAAGATTTCCTTACTACATCATTCTCAGTTCTCGAGGAACAACCCATGGATATGCTTCTCGGACTTGACATGCTCAAACGCCACCAGGTAATTTTAACAGCTTTTACACTTTATCTCTATGAAATTTATAGAATTTTAAACTTAATTCAATTGTACTGCTCTTAAAAACATCTAAATAAGCTGTGAGTATAGTTAAGCTGGCTTGAGATTCACTGAAATTGCAATAAATAAATAAATTATCTGTTAGCACAATAATATGTAAAATAATATTTTGTGATCGACACTGTTAATTTATGACATGACAACAACAAACAAATAATTGACAATCTATCATTGTCAATTATTTATTTTTCTTAATCATTTGGTTACGTCACCTTTAAGAACATTTTCATTTTTCAGTGTAACATAGATTTAAAGAGGAATGTTCTTGTCATTGGGACAACGGGTACTGAAACTCCCTTCCTGCCTGAGTCAGAGTTGCCAGACTGCGCTAGACTATCTGGCGTCTCTGAGGATGATATACAGGATCGACAAGTGCAGGACTTTGAAGAGCGAGAAATGAAGCAAGCTGTGGAAAAATCGAAACAAGGTGGGAGAGGAAAAAAAAGATAAAACTGTTCTAAAAAAGAGTCTCAACAACATTTTGCGATCAAATCTAACATAAAATCGAATGTAAGAATAAAAATAAAAATTGCAAAATAATAGTATACTTTAATTAATGTAGTGGACGTGTTATGTTATTGATGTAACCTCTGACCGATGAATTGATGTATGTATTGGTAGGGTTTTATTATGTCGAGTTTTGTCAGAACTGTTCTCGTAAACTTGCAGTTTCCATTGATAAGTTTAGAAAGAATTAAAGAATTTTCTTGGAAATATGAAACTATCACCAGATTAACTTAAAAAAATATGCTGCACTGCTGAGTAATTTATGAGAAATATTTATATTAATTATCAAAATATGTAATATTGGTGATGTCTTTGAAAATTCTCGTTTTGGGTCACATATAAGATACAAAGATTTCGACACGGATTTAGAAACATATTCTTACGATTAGATAACTTGAAGCTTGTAGTTTGCACATTTTGTAATGAAGTATATATTCAAATACCTCATCAATCAAAATAAATCTAGTAATTTTCAAAATACATTGTGAATACGTTAAAGAGTTATGAAGAGGTAAAGAAGTACAAAAAAATGTTCAAGAGTCTATAATTATATTTTCAAAGAAGTGCAGGATTATAAGACGCACAGAAGGTAATTTGTTGAATGTATAAGAAACTTACAATTAACTAGCCACTGTACAAATTGTTTTAAATGTAAAACAAAAGCACAACATGTCCGCTCGTTACAATTTGAAATTTGCGTCCTATATTAATTTTTGTAAAGGGCTACCGGAGTTTTTGTGTTTTTTTTATTGATTCTAAAATTGTACTACCATATAGCCTGTATGTTAAATGTATGTTTTAATAATACGAAAAAGATTAGTGAAGTATTTAAATTTAGTAGAAGTAACAGTTAAAATGCTGTATTTACTGTAATAAGTTATAGAGTTTAACATAGTAGGGGGGATAATGTGTAACATGGCAAAGTAGATTTTAGTTTTTAAGATAACATTTGTGTTCAAATGTAGAAGAGTCCCGTATAATAGGAAATAATTTGTTCATTTGGCGCAGCTTATAAAAGGTTTCTAATCTAAGCTTAAGTTACGACTTATGAAGCAAGCTTTTTCAATTAAGTTTGTTAATTATGCAGAAGCTGCAGTGAATCAAAGTACACAATCCACTATTTCAAGTGATTCGTCAACCTCTGTGGGTCAACAAAGTGCAAGAGTTGGTAAATATCTTTTCATGTATTCTTGTTTTGAGATGTAACGTACATACTAGTATTTTTTTTTTGTTTTTGTTTTTCATTTTATTAATAATTTCGTTTTCCTGCAGCCCTAGAAGATCCCAGCCGCATAATTCTTCCTACTGACCGCTTTAACGAGAGCGATGTTGAGGAAATCGTCAACATGGGATTCACAAGAGAACAGGTCAGTGGTTTCTTTGCCAGTTATTATACTCAATTGAAAGACTTTAATGGTTAAACTCCCGGATTGTTTTGGGTTCGAATCCCGGGGAAACAAAACTGATCAGTGAAACGGACATGCCCCATAGGGGGAAAGGAGATTTCCTTTTTTTTATTGAAGTACATATTTATACCTGTGATATTTTCATGAATTATTGCGGGAATTAACATGGGTATAAATATTTCGTGATCTTCGTGGCTTATTGATTATTGGCCATAAATTGCTACCATTAAGTACAAAAAAAAAATAGTTTCGCGTTTTTTATACGAATGTCAAAAGTTAGGAAATGAAATACTTTTTAAATATAATGAAAATTATTTTTCCTTAAATTTCTAAAAGTTAATTCTCCAAATATGTAACTAATCCTAGTTTGGTTGTAAGACGATTTTAATGCAGATTTGTATGCGTGGTCTATTTAGAACAATACAAGACTTACGATAGTAAGATTATCAAACCAACTATCAAAATCCTTATAAATCTTTTATTTATCGTTTTTTCAGGCAATTGTCGAACTGCGTCGTTTCAACGGCGACAAGACCTGTGCAACTGTGGCCCTTTTCGCCAAATCGCTAAAGTTTTGACTGTCAGTAAGAGCCGTAAGTGAGAAGAAGACTCAGACTGCGTAATATAGGGATAGATAGAGAATCTAAGTGCACGCTGTTTTAATACTAACCGTAGGTACCTCAAAATTTTTGGACAGCTTTCCTTGTGTTGTAAAGGGTTTTGTCAGGCTGGAATTGCTTCTGTGTTCAAGTATATACAGGGTTGTTATGTGTGCATAACATTTTGTCCGAAACTGCCCGGGTCTAAGAATGTTCGTAATAGCGCTGCTAACTGACTACTGTAGATAATACATATATGAAGACAATACCTTGATATACAGCTATATTTTTATATTCTCGCGATGATAAAATGTTGGTGGTCTTCTTGAAGACTAGTACGTCTCAAAACATATCTCGTAAATGTAAGAGTATAATTTTTTTGTATTTATTTTGTAATAAACTTGCATGCATATGGTACGAATTATTTAGTTAACATGACTTAAGGCATTTAATGAAAAGTGACACGGTAAAGCTCGTCGAAAGAAACGTTAAATATGTATAATTTTTATTTTTGTTAAATATTTTAAGTATGTATAATGTTTTAATAACATTATCATTAATTTGAATATATAAGACATATATTAAGATGGTTCCGACGAATAAAAGTCTGTTGGATTGAAGTTGTTTTTATTTATTTAAATTTCTTGGTATTTTAAGTAGTGGATCTGAATTGTCTATAAATCGAAATCGTATATATCCGAAGGTACATTTGATGCATTACGTCCTTACAAAGATGTAGAGCCCTATTAATCTTGCGATGTGAATTAAATAAAAGAATTATATCTACTATTATGTATTTATTAAAACGTATAACAATCCCGGCTTAATATAAAATTCTGTTAAAATCGTATATATCGTAATGGTTATAAAATCCACATTAAAAGCTTAATTTTAATGTCTTATCAAGTCGGTAAAACTATTTCAGTCCATACAAAATAACTAATACTGGAAGTCTTTGTCAATATAAACACGCAATGGATTCGATGAAAAATGTTTTATAATGGAAGTTCCATAAAGAAAAATCTAGAGACATATAATATATATATATACATAGATACTAGCTATGGTTTGTCTAATATGGGATGATAAACGTGACAATTTGCCAATTTCTGTTCAAATCAAACGAAAGTATTCATTAAATATAGGATGACCCAAAACCTCTACAAGGAGGAAATGGGTGAAATGGTCAGCTGATAACGTGGACTGCTCACCCGTCCTACCACAGGTGTCCCCGAAAGAAAAAAAAAATTCATTAAATATAGTACAAATATATAAATTACACAAGAAGAAAACAATAATTTTACTTATGTGGAAGGACACCGCTTTTAGTGTGCCAGTACGTAAGTAGAGACAGACGAAATTCAATGATATTCGATATCTGTAGTTGAACGACGACAGTAGTGTACATAATTATTAAATAAAATACTTAACAGGGGGACCACGGTTTCTGCAAAGCATCCGAACGTCGGGCCCTGTTTAATAAAAATTGTGAAATAGTTAACTAATACATTTCGTGTTGTATAAACGTGTACTATTCGAGTACAGTACAAATAATGCTTACATATTATTATAAGTAATCGAAAAACTTAGTTATTCGAGTATGTTATCTTGGAATATTGAGATAAATAGATACGAGTATATTATATCTTTACTTTCGTTTTTTTTTATTGTTTTTGAGGTACCTCACTAAATGAATAGTCATCAAATTACAGTAAGAATTTTTCCATTCTTTGGTACAATATATAATACTTTATAAGTGTGAATTGTCTAATGTATTAATTTATACTGAGACTGATCAAGTTTTACATAATTATAAATTCGATTGCAGTATTCACATCTATGGTATCACATGAAACTTAAAAAGAAGTACTGCTTATGACTTAGGTAATCCCAAGGACCGTTACATGGTAACAAACAAAATTTAGTTTTTAAATAAAATTAAACATACATAACAACAATCTATACTAATAATATAAATCTGAAGAGTATATTTGTTTAATAAATTAAAAAACATCTTTATCTTCTTTAAATAATCTAAATAATGGGTATATTAATTTTGCAAACAACGTTTGGCCAATCAGCAATTTAAGCGTCGTAGTTCCACTAAATATTTGAGGGACCTGATGTGACCCTCAAATATTCATATGACTGTTTTATTGTATCTTCTATCGTTTTCATGGCTATTTTTGTTTCCATGGGGCAGTATACCTGTCTTAAATTAAAATGTAACAGCCCGACGTCAGTGTATTCAGGGTGCAAATGGAATGGAATGCCGTGTTTAAATCCGTTACAGATCCTTCATGTACCTAAATATTTTGCTTAATAATATTTTACACAGGTTTAATTACAAGTGAGGTCTATATAATATACATATCATAAACGAGTTATTTTCAACGGCTTGACCGCAATTGATAGCATTTTCTCTCCATACTTTATATTAACTGGACACAGAAACCACTTTAATTCGTCAAATTATTTTTTACTGGCCAGTTAAAATTTCGTCATTAGCGTACACATCGAATGTACCGTAAATAGGTTTTATATATTTTAATTACACTAGATCATCTGACCCCGCACCGAGACTCACCATCTTGTTGGACATAGCTGTCAAAATGTCTGTCAACCGTGCAAACCTTTGGTTAGGAGTAGTCATCACGCCTCGCTCGCCCCATAGGAAATTTATATGAAATTCGGTTCGAAATAGTTCGAGCAGTGAAGGATCTAACGTTGAACCAAGGGATGACATCTCCTGGATGACGGTTCTTGCGTTTCTTTTAAACATTTCCACTTGGTTTGGAAAATGGCGGGCTGCGTCTAGGTGCGCCGCTGACGCGTTGAAGTCAAATTCTAATGTGTTCATCAGGCTACCAGGGAACGTATCGTCTGGTTGAAGTAGTCCACCGCTGTCCCCGTCTATAAGGATACCTTTGATTAAACATCAATTATTTCAACTACGGCCCAACGTTTCGGATGTTTTGAATCAGCCCCTTGTCATGTCCTAGGACACTACGACTAACAATAATTTGTAAATAAGTTTAACAAATACATTTCGCGTTGTAAACCGTTTAAAGTGTATTATTAAAATGTATATTACTCGCGTAAACATACCAAATAAATGGAAGCACAAAATTGGCGGGATGACATAAGGTGTCGTTGTGTTTGGAGGCAGTGGATTATTTCCCTCGTTCATGCTTTTGAAGCACGGCCGCAACTTGGCTTCAAACATAAAGGCGTTGTCAGTGTAGACCCGCCTTAAAATATTCCATGCGTTCTCCAATCGCTCTACCTACAACACATTTGCATTTAATTTATATATAGGCTATTAATATTTGTATTTATGTACAAAGACCTATCAATTAAAAATCGTTACCTGTGGCATACATAATCCAAACATAATAGCTGAAAACCCGTATAAATTTCCCAAAGCCGTTTTTGTTTCAATAGCCAGAAGTATCCAGTCATTTATAATATCTGCCCTCTGGCGGTCTGTCTGGCATGTGAGAATCGTGACAGCAATGAGTAGACGAAATGTTTCTACCCTAAAATTTAACAATCATCTAAAGACTATACTAATATAATAAAGCTGTAGGGTTAGTTACGAATGCGCATTGGTTTCAAATTGCTTTTTTTCTTTGAATTGGTTAGATCGATTTTTCGAGGAAGACTTTAGGCTATTAAACGTAAAGATGGGACCAATAGGAACAAAAAGGGGGAATATTATTCTATTTTGAGGTTTTCGTTGGATATACAGATCTATCTTTTAAGATTAACACAGAAAAACTTTTTATGGTAATCAAATTTCGTCGAAATATTTCAAATGGCAAAATAACGTTTGCACCTGGCAAGTTAGTATAAAATGGAAATACTACATACCTTTCAATAATATCTAAACGTAAATTTCTGCCCTGCGGCAAAAAGCATAACTCTATACCGGAAGCAGTTTTATTAAGTCCTTCTATCTGGACGGCTTCGTCCAACAAAAAATGCAGGTCAACCTTCGTCAAATGGTTCGCCAAAATGCGAGGGCCTGAGGTCCGAAGAAGTAATTTGATCGTATGCAACGTTTCAGATTCCAGAGGTTTATTGAGGTTCGGCGTTATAATTTGTGATTGGAAATTCTCGAGATTAATTCGCGATTCAATAGTGTAATTCAAATTCTCCAGCTGTAGAAGTTTCGCTTCCGTCAAATCGTAGTCAAAGTGTTGTTTCATTGTTGGTGTGGTCACATTGTAATCTGCATCGACTCTTGATTTATTTGGATCACTATGCGCAGAGCTCTGTGTTGAATCGCCGGAGCCGTTCCCAGAATCAGACCCCGACACTTGATACAATCTTTGTAATTCCAGCCGTCTATCGTCCGCTTTTGGTCCGTCATATCTAGCTGGTTTAGCCGGTGGACTTGTCGGAAGGTTAGCATCCCATGTATTGGAGTTTGAACACGATTCGCTTGAGAATTTTATCACATGTTTATTCGTCTGTATGACACCATCTGCGCTTGCGCTTTTTCCGTGATTTATGTGCTGGGTCATATCTATAGGTGTTAAGGAATGAGAGCGTTGTTTTTTGAATGGTATCCGTAACTGCATGCCTGGTTTAGCCGCGAAGTGGCTGTAAAGACTGTATGGATTGCCATAATTGCTTTCACCAGCTGGAGAGACTATAGGGTTCGACTCTTCACCAGAATACGTAGTTAAAGGTACTATTCTGTTTGCAGGGTATTGGATCCTGGCGCCGGAAGCAGCTGATATAGGTTTTCCTGACCCCACGTAAGATGTGATTAGATCTGCGACAGTATCGTAAGCTTCATCTTCGAATTGGTACTGATATCTTTCGTATACAGTTTCTGGGTGAACGACAATCTGAAATAAATATATGAAACTGAAGGAAAATAAATGCATACAAACGTAATCTCAAGATTTTCAAATAATTCGCGTGGCAATAAAACAATTTTTCGCTTTGTAAATTGAAATACAAGTGTTACTTAAATACTTACGCGTTGAATAACGAAATGCAAGTGTTGACCGTTCGATCGACAGCTCAGAACGTAGTTATCTGGTTGTGATGAGGAATCCCTCACTAGAAACTCTCTGTCTTGCTGCAACAGGTTCTCTGCTGATGTTCTGCTAAGTGCACCGTGATACCAAGCGTGGGAAATTATTTGGTCTGACGGTAAAGACAGTTCCCATTCTAATAAACCCGAAGTAGTCATAGCATCCTGAAATATTTGAATTTAATGAAACAGCGCTGCAAACAAAAGCCGGCAAACATAAAATGCAACACTATATTTGTATAGTCGGAGTTGTTTAAAAAAATATATATTTATTATAAATATTGCGAATATAAAAATAGGTGGGAATTCTATTAAAATTACACTTTTATATTAAGAATTTTTCTCTATTTATGATAATAAGTTACATACCATGTTTACTTAAAAATGTGGTTCTAATTATAAATTTATATTTTAAATATCGAATAAGTTTTAACAGCTTGAACCGTCTCTACCGATGCGTCTACCGGGCAGCGCGAATGGAAAATCAATAAATCCGCGTCTCTTCGACCCCAATGTTGGTAGTCTTAGTGTGCACCGGGGGAACTTCGGTGCCCACAGTGCAGGAAACAGACTATAATATAATTGCCTATATTTTAAATAATCATAACAGCATTTAAACAAAATTTTGTAATTTAAAAAATCGGTACAGTAAATATTTTTCGTGAATATTATTTACAAAGCATAAATGTCCCAAACTTAACATAATTAAAAGCTTATTAAAAACCTACTATTGTCTATGCTGATGTGCAGCACTGCATTTTAATCTAAAAACAAGGAACTGCTTTAGAGCCGTTTGCCCCAACGAATGGAATGGATCTTGAGCATATTTTGAAGTGAGTAAAATTATTTTACTCAATACATAGTTTTACCCTCTTCTCGTCTCTTTCGATGTTGCTAATTTTGAATTCCTATAAAGTACGTTTATTTTAAATGAAGCATTTACAAAAGTAATTATTTATTACAACATATTGCCAAAGCTTCTATCACAGTAAGTTGTTACAGAGCGAACTCGTCAAAAACTACATATGTGCAAGCGTTCTATTTTCGTTTTGTTTACCTAATACTAAGTAAGTATTCACATAATACTTTTAGTACCTTGCTTTATACATCCTGCACCTTGTTTATATTAAGTTGCATTTGCAAAAATATTATAGTCTATTAAGGTATTTTTAATCCAATACTACAACTTCCTCATTGTCCTACCAAATTTTATTATTTCATTCAAAATCGACTAGCTCAATTTTCGCGGTTAAATATCTAGGTTCAACCTTGATACCTGGGACCTAGGTATCGATTATTGAGCACTCGGTAACCTATAGCAACAGGGGCGTTTACCAACAGGAGGACAGAGGATAGGGGTAGTGGGTGGTACGGGCAAGGATTTCCTAGTGGTTGCGCAAATATTGCATCAATTTTTTGTTTGTTTAAACAGTTGCGGGGTTGGTAGTGTAACAAGTTCGGAAATAATTTTAATTAATTTAAATTTTAGACGTTCTTCTTTGTAGGAGACACTCAAATAACCACCCATAAACATTAAGAAATAGTTACACGAAAAAGTTTCTGCCAGTCTCAAAGTAAATCTAAAATTAGGGGTTTTTATTTTTTTATTGACATAATAAGGATTTCTTTTATATATACTTTTTTTTTTATTTTGCAGCTGGCCATCGACTGCCGAGGAAGAAAACTTCCTTAATGCTCTCCTCGAGTCCTTGACTAAGTTCACTGAGAATGGCGAACGCTACCTCGATCCGGAAGCCGTTGTAGCCATTGTCCATCAAATCTGGGCTTGACAAGGACTCATCAACGATCCTCACGCTATTGCCCCTATCACTTCTAACTCTAATTCGTCTAATGGGGCATCGACTTCCCGTTCATCGGCCAGATCCTAAAGGATCTCTTTAGATATGCTTATATTCTTCTTCGCTAATCTATTAGAAGTCTATTACTGTGCGGCTTAAATCCAAAGTGTAAAATACTTATTATAGTAAAATGTAATAAAAGTTTACTTTTATTATTAGAAAAACTCCCTTGACATCAACATTTTTATTATTGTATTCCTATAAGCAAAATTTGACGCACATAGGGTCATTATCACATTAGAGTTAAAGTGTAAGATACACTTAATGTAGAAATAGAATTAGAAAGGTCTACCTACGGTTTATTGTTTTCTTTAATTTTAAATAAAAAAATATGATTAAATGTTTATTATTACAACTTGGTGAGCGAATTCCAGTAAAATTAAGAATAATTTGTACTGGAACTGCCTATTTCCTATTAACATTTATAAAAACTAAGTCGCCGTTTTAGAAATTAACTCGACAAATTTTCATAATTTAATGGCAATAATAAGAATTTATATTTGAAACAATTTTAATATTTAAAGAAAATGCATCATTTACTTTCGACAAAAAAACGAATTTTTATATTTTATATCGTTATAGTTAAAACCAAAGGATAATCTGTATAATTTAAGAAATAATCAATTAACTTGAAATCTCTTTGTTTTTGAAATTGCTGTTCTTTTTTTTTATTATACGTCAAAGGTCTAATCTACAAGGTTATCAAACAATGTCTACTCTGTTTTGTCTGTGGAGTATTCTAGAATCATAGATTACGGGTATGTTGTAATCTGTCAAATGGTTGTCGATGTCATTTGAACTGTTGTCAAGTGTCAGTCTAATATTTACGACTTTACAAACAAAAATAAACATCAGATTCTAGTCCTAATTTAGATAGTTCTATTGCTTTATAGATATGTCTACTTTTTTCTATGCTAAGATATTAATTTGTACCTGAAAATATACAACTTTCATATATTATTGACTTCAGAAGGTATGAGTCTAGTATTCAATTGGGAAATGGTGAATTAAATTAAAGTTGTTCCGCCTTTATAGTTTTTCCTAACCTTTAACCCAATTTCTTCTGTCTTCAAAAAAAAAAACACTGCTACTTACTGAGAAAGGTTCCTCATAAATTAATCGCACGCAATAGTACAGAATGAGCTTACAAGACAGAATTAAACCTTTCCTGAAGATATTAAAATACTCTACATTTGTGGGAGGTAGTATTCTATTATTAGGATATCATTTAAAACAGACACACTTAAGGATCAATAAAATAGTAAATCCAAGAGTTTTAGATGCTGATAAAAAAATTTCTCCAGAGTACATCTATATTGATGATCCTTCATATGATGCAGCAATGAAAGCTGAAAATGAAAAAGAAAACAAAAATTCTGTTGGTCTTTCTAGAATTTGGAAGAGCTTAAAATACTCTTTAGCTTGGAAACTTCTTTGGCTTTGTCGTCACGGCAGTAAGGAGCAGAGAAATCTTGCCATTGAACAGCTAGCATCATTTAGGAACAATAAAAGCTGGGATTGTTTGAAACTTGCTCAAGCTTTAGACAAAGATACTGCAGTACTCCTAGCACGCACACGTGGGGCTGACTTAAGATATTTTCTCCCACCACCTATACATATACGACGATCGGCATTGACTTCAGAACTTCTTTCATTTAGATTGAAAGACCTATTATTGGCCATGCAAACTGTAAAGCCACATGGCTGTATAACTTACTTCTTATCAAAATATTTTTTAAATATTCAAGAACAGCCAATGGAAGTTGATATACCAAATAAGCCAGATAGTATTAGTGAAAAAAATCTCTGTATTTTGTGTCTTGATGCAATCCATCATCATTTGTCTTTATTTTATAGCACAAATTATGAAGAAGATGTTTCAATACAGACTTTGGTACAGCTGGGGGTATTACCCTGCTTAGCTGAGTTGCTATTGAGATACCACAATGACGTTGACATGGATATAGCTGTGTTGAAAGTTCTTACAATTTTAAGCATTCATAATAACCTATCAATGGATTTTTACCAAAATGGTTTAATAAGAGATTTGTCAAGGTTATTAAGATCAAATGATGTTCGTTTAGCTAGTCCCTCTGCAGTCACATTAGCTAATCTTTCTGGTGAATATTTATATAGACCTGGTTTATATTTATTATATCCGTTATACCGTACTCCTGAACCACCTACATGTGATACATTATTGGTGCATGGCCTTCGTGGTGGTGTCTTTGTGACATGGAGACAAAGAGACAGAACTTGCTTCAAACCAATAGGGCTTTTAGAAGTATCTATTACAGAACCAGAATGTGATCCATGTAAAGAAAATGAAACCGAAGCCAAGTACTATGATCCTGAATTACAGCAGGTTTTGGATGATATAATGGAACTTGAAGAAGAAGCTCTTCTATCAAATGTTGAAGTTGTCTTACATGACCTTCCTATAGATGCTAAGCGTGAACCATTAAACAAATTTACTTTTACAGCAGACAAGAAGATAAATGCTTTAATACAAGAAGAGGAGGATAGGTGCAACTATACATTTTGCTGGCCCAAAGATTGGCTCCCAAAAGACTGTAAAAATTTGAGAATTTTGGGTATAAATTATTGGACTTCTCTGTCTGAATGGCTGGAGCACTGTCCTTTGCAAAATGCAGATATATCTACACGAGCTTCGGAACTAATACCAATATTAGTTGATGCTGATGTTGGGAGAAGGAATGTTGTTTGGTTAACACACTCTATGGGCGGCCTTATTGTTAAACAATTGCTCATACAAGCTTCAGAAAGTGGAAACCTTCTATACAAACAATTATGTGATTATACAAAAGCAATAGTTTTCTATAGTACACCTCACAGGGGCAGTGCACTTGCAACAATGCCGAGAGCCGCCGCTGCTATATTATGGCCTTCTCAAGATGTGCAGCAATTACAGGAAAACTCCCCATCCTTACTTAAGATACATCAAGAGTTTATAAAATATGCAGAACGGTATGGATGGGAGACAATAAGTTTTGCAGAAACACTTCCAACCCCAGTGACAGCATTTAAAGTGCCAATTCATTTTGTTGAACCATTTTCAGCTGATCTTGGAAGAGGGATTTTTTACCAATTACCTTTAGACCATTTATCTATTTGCAAGCCAGCTACGAGGCAGTCAATTTTATATACCACTGTCTTAGATGTATTAAGGAGAGCAATTGCTGCAGATTTAGAACTGCAAAACACTAATAATTATATCCAACGTTTTATACATTTCCTATTTTGGACTGCAAGAAGTAAACTTAAAACAATTATTGAGATTTTGGATGAAACTCAAAGTTTTGATAATGCTCATGACTTTGAAAAAGCTTTACTATATTCCTTCACAGATGATTTCTTTGAATAAATTTTCTATCAACAAATGTGTTTGTTTTTTTCTTTTTTAAATAATATTGTATGTCTGTCTTAATGAAATGATTACAAGTTACTAGCTTAATTGAGCTATGTAGGTATGTCATTGGTAAACCATAAATTAAATTATTGTCAGAAAAAGGAATACTGATAGTATAACGATTTGTAGTAAGTAGCTTTAATTACTTAAACTTGAACAATTGATTATTAAAAAAAGTAAACTTAAATTGCTTACTTTACTTAAAATAGAAACACCAAAACGTTAAAACCAAATATGCCTTGATATATAGACTTCTTATTGTAAGACTCCGTTTTTCTTACGATAGAAAAATGTTTGAATAAATGTACTTCCTAAGTATATGTTCTCACGACAGTGCTTTTAATCCCAGTTCCGTTTTTAACTTCTTTATGCAAAAATACGTATATTTTTATTTTGCAAAATTATTAATTTGTTTTAAACTTCGCATAGTATCACAATCTGACCTATATCATGGCTCATTCAGTGCATGTCCAGTCGCAGAATGCCCAGAGGTAATGCCGTGAAGTTTTATCACATTTCAGTATCGGTTTGTAAATTCCTGAACCTCAAAAGGCAAAATACATCAAAGCGTTTGTTTGTTTGTCTGTTCTCCTCTATCATACACACAAACCGCTAATTAAACCGCCAAATAACTAGGCGTTAACCATTCTCACGTCTAACTAAATCGCGAGACGAAACAAGAGCGATTTAAATGCATTCGTATGTAGACTTAGATCCAGGATTTACAAGAAACAATATTTAACCAATTAAATTGTAAATTAATAACTATGATGACATCTGGTATATTAATGTTTTTCGTCCATAACAGTAGAGAAAATTTTAATATAACATTTAGAATAAAATATTGTATGATAATCATAAATAAATAAGTCATAAATTAGCATCATAGGTTACCATTGACATTTTTTTAAATATAACTGGCTGGTAACCAATCAAAGCGTGACTTAAAAACGCGGTAAATTCAAATGAATTCTTACACTGAAGTTATATGAGGGGTGAATTCATTTTTTAAAACCTATATTATCATCAGTATAATTTATATATTAATAAAAAAATACTATATTTAGTATAAGGCTATAATAGATACTATTTAAAATTTAAGTCATATTTAAAAAGTTTATTTGACTATGTTTACACCGGATATAAGTGGTTGTAGCGCCAACAAACAAGAAAGTTTCTAGAAAACATTTACGATTTTTTAATTTTCATATACCTTTAATACGCCTTAATCGTTTTAATTATCTATTAATAAATACTTAATTTATTTTTTAATTAGGTATATTTTATCTTTTATCTCAGCAACAGTTGCAAAACAAAAATAATTAATTGAGTGCAGAGATTTTTTTGACTTTAGTGTTGTACCATTTTTTCTAGTACTCGATATTTTCAGTTTCGTATAGTTTTGTATTTTATGCAAATCTTTTTTTAATTCAATTTGGGTTTCTGAACTGCCTATTTTTCATCGCCACCAATAAGGACACTACACCTAAATGCGAAATATATTCGAGTACTTCATATACAAGAATATTATTTAATTTAGGATTTTTTAAAATAAACATGCAAATTTATATTGTATTATCATCGGTGACTTATAGTCTATTTTTAAAAAGCAAATAGCTAAATAATAGCTTAATATTTTTATTATCTTGTAAAAACTATCGATATTTACTACCCTTTCATTACCTGTGTGGGCTTCACTTATTAAACGACTTCCTTTTTCAATTTTTCACAATTGCGAGGACGCGTTGCAGGCGAAAACGTGATTACATTTTAATCCTGAAAATTAATAAAGTGAATGATTTAAAGTTAAAAGATAAAAAAAAACGGAGACGAATTCTTGCTGAGAACTTAAACAGTGCATTTAACTTAAGTGTTGAGTGTTATTTTGATATATCGAGGCGTAATAATTTGCGACGTAAATTTGCGGCCATCTTGAGACCACGCCTTTAATTCGCAAAAAGTTTAAATTAATTAAGATGTTAGTGGCAAAAAAGAAAAGGACTCGGAGGTCAAAAATTAGCGGTTCTTTGAATAAACGGAATACAACTGAAGTGGGTGAAAACATCGTCTTGCACTTACCGATGTATCAAGCAAACGGTATGTTTTTTTTGTATTGTCATTTATGTACTGTTGCGAGTTTGAGTAGTACGTAGTAATCGCAATATATCTCATTACTACGCATACTGTTTCAAACATACTTGAATATTTCTTATTAAGTAGGTACCGCGGTACTATAGATGCCACAGGTGTGAATTTTTATTTTTACGTATATAGTCTAAGACGCAAATTAGTTCGACTCACGAACACTTGGGTGTCCCCACTGTTCGCCGACGGGATTCTTCGAAGAGTTGGACGTTGGCGTTGGACTCGGAAGCCCCGCGTCCCTAATAAAATCTATTTATGTGTACGCATTGTGCAATTCATTAAGTCATAGACGATAATGCACTTACGCAAGCGGTAGGTACACTTAATAGCAAGTTATGACCTAAAGAGAAGTAGGAATTTCTTCTAGCCAACATGTTAAATTTAAAAAAAATCATGAAAATAAATTGTGTTAGGCTTTCACGGTCGTCGTTCAGCATATTAGTGGTCTAAATCAGGAGATATTAGCTCCTCGATTGCTTGAAGAATTAACATCGTCCGCGATCCGACTTCGTCCGCGTGGAATAGTGCCTTTGATTAGAATTTTTAATTATTTAGACTGTTTAATAATTTATAAAAGTGCGCATATATGTGCAGTGCTACTTTGCCGCAACACTCCTACACTCACCTGACATTACTCCTACTCCCACTCTCATTGCTACCCCCACCACGTGAAAACCACGAATTTCAATACAAATTTTCATCCCCCTTTTCAACCCCTAACAACCCTTTTTTGGTATTAAAAAGTAGCCTATGTCTTTTCTCAGGCTATACAAATATGTGTACCAAATTTCATTTAAATCGGTTCAGTAATTTCGGCGTTAAAGCCGGTCAGACAGACAGTTACTTTCGCATTTATAATATCAGTATAGAGTATTAGGAAATTATTTATTTACAGGTTCTTATTCTTATACTTCAAAACTGGGAAGTTTTTATTGACTTTTCATGCTTTTATATCTGTATTAAAGTGGGTTTAGTCATTTCTTAAATATATATTTTTAGCGCTACTAATTCAGGTGTATACTTAACAGGAATGCTGGTAGTCAAATATGGATTATGGTTGTAAAGACTTTTTGCTTCTTTTCAGAGATGAGTGAGGATAAACCATATGTAATTATCAATGAATTTACTATCTATGATCAGCAGAGCAACTTAGTTCCAATAGAAATGTATCTTTGTAAAACTAATATAACATTGTACATGTCTGGATGTATAGAGCCAGGGCATAAGAAGGACCCTTACACTATGCACATAAGCAGACGGATTAAAACAGGCAAAATACTCAAATGGTAAGTTTGTTTTGGCACTTTTAAAATATGTTGACTATATTATGTAGTTTATACAGACTAGGAGAAAAATTAACACATTAAGGCTATGTTAGGGAGACATAAGCTATATACGCCCTCAACCCAGTGGCATTTAAACCTTAAACTAAGCGACAATGTTTAAAGTATATATTTATTATTTAAGAGAAACTATGATGTGAGTGTTTGTATGGCATTCTCAACTTTGGCTTAAAATAAAATAAATATCTAGTAAGGTAATGCAAGCAAACTGGAAGGTTTGAAGGAGGAGACGGGGAGAGCTGGATAACCCAAGACCTTTGCAAGGAGGATATGGGTGAAATGGTCAGCTGATGGCGTGGACTAATCACCCGGCCTTCTACAGGTGTCCCCGATAGAAAATATTAGTTCAGTCTAAAATACTTGTACTTCAAACTAGACTAAAATATTGCAGGGTCATTCGCGATTTGCCTGGTCCTAAAAGAAGTATATCTATTATAATAACAACAAGTTATGGGTTTTATGAACTTCAAGATCCTAGCAGACGTTATGCACCTATAATGGGGAGGACATATGAGAAGATATGGTTAAGTCAATTAACTCTGGAGTATCTACGTGAGAATATAGATCTTGATCTGACCTATGGCGGATTGCTTTCTCACCTTAGTGGGGCAAAAATTGGCCAAATTGGGAAATTTTCTGAAATGATGTTGCATAGACATGCACAGTATGTGTGCACACAGGTATATACAGAACCCATATCTTTATATTTAATCAAATGAAACAAAATTAATCGTAACATTCTAAATTGTACCTACCTAAACCTTGTTCTCTTTACTAAAATAATAATAATCTTTTAACAACAACATTGAACAATTTGGAGTGGCAGATATTTCAATAAATTTTACTTACATGTCCTTTGAACAAAAGTATTTTCATTCTACTTAGTGGTATACAATTATGAATTTTTTTTAGGTTAATTTCTGTAAGCATAATATAAACAATCAGTCTCTTTTGAAAGCACCATGTATGCAGCATTTGATGCACATTACGGGTGTGAAATGTAGAAAAGCAGAGCTATCTGTAACATTTGGACAGTCGAAGTCACCTAACAAAGTGATCACCACTCCCTTAATTCAGAGGATATTTGAGGAGTTTTTACTTGACAACCCGGAACCTATGGAGAAAAGGCAACGCTACAATTTTAATTTACTTTTATGCATTTTAGTGTGCTGTGTATGCTATACCATTATAAAACGTTCATCTATTTTTTTCCCATTACTAGTGCGTCTGCAACTTATATGTTATAAATATGTAAAAATTTAATCCTTTACATATATTACTATTATTATATACTTATAAGACTAATTTTCTTAGATTAATTTTGAAACAAAAAAACCTTGAGAAAATATTTGATAAAATTATGATCTTTATTCATCTTTATTTTCTAAATACAGATGGTCTGAATTTCGCCAATCCCGGCAAAGTCGCATCTACAAGGTTGTAAAGTGGATAGGTGAACCAATTAAACAAGACAAAGAAAAGATATTTTACGAATCCGTTACTGTTAATGGGGCTTTTCTAAAGATTGGGGATTACGTCACAGTGGAGCCGGTTAACCGCCGTTTACCACCTTTGGTGACAAGAATAGTATCGCTGTGGAAGTATAACAGGCTTAAGGGATTCTTCCATGCTCAGGTGTTTATGAGGTCTAGAGATACTGTGCTAGGGAATACTGGAGGTAAGTTATGGAATCTCTATAATATTGTACAATACTGATGTAACTATTGTTAATGCAAGGTTTGTCACTCTTTAACACTATTAATGTCGCGATCGATGAAATTTACGTTAAATACCCATGTATTACAAAGTAAATTATAATATATTCCTGCGAGATCTAGACTACTAATACGCAATTTTATTTGAAAGCCTTACAAATTACAATTTTCAGATCAATGGGAAGTCTTTCTCACAGACCGATGTTGCCACAATGTGCCTTTATCGTCCGTGATACATAAGGTGAACGTCATAAAAGTAATCTACCCAGATGAGTGGTCAAGTCTCGGCGGTTTACAGGAATTGATCAACGAAGACGAAGACATGGATGAGTACGAAAGTTACTATTGCTCAAAATATTACGATAGATTCACCTGTCGTTTTATTGACCTACCCTCAGATCCTATATGCCTTGACTCACAACGCAAACACAGTTTCTGTCCCTCGTGTGAAAGAAAAACTTTGAAAGAACTTCAGGAGATCCCTGTATTGTCCACTAGAGGAAGTACTAGTGTGATATGGAGAAACCACAGTTACGAAAAGGGAAGCGCAGTATTTTTGAAGCCCGGCACATTCAAACTTAAAAATAACTATAATTTATGCCACGAGAAACTTAAAGTCCAGTTAGAAAAAGTAAACGAGACAGAATACCCTGAGTATTATCGCAAGAACAGTAAGAACATACGCGGCTCTAACTTTGACACCGCAGAGCCATTCTGTGTGGGCTATATAGAAGACGTTACTATTGGCCCAGGGCCCAAACAAATTTTCTTAAAGGTCCGAATACTGTATAGACCTGAGAACACAAACTGCCGCTTTCCTCAGTGTGAAGACTTAAATCTTGTATACTGGAGCGATGATTTTTTTTTTGCTCCGTTCTCGGCTGTCACAGGACCCTGCACTCTTGCTTATGCTATGAATATACCTGATGACAATTGGCTGGAAGCTGACCCGAGCAGGATGTACTTTTCCGGAGCGTACGATCCAGCCACTGGTGAATTCCAAAATGTACCAAGAGAGGCTTGCCATATTAGGCCTCAGATAGAAAGTCCACACTGGGAACGTCGACCATTGCGAACACTGGACTTATTTGCCGGTTGCGGCGGGCTATCTCTCGGTATGCATCAGTCGGGTGTCGCTGATTGCACGTGGGCTATAGAAAAAGAGGACGCTGAAGCGAATGCGTATCTCCTTAACAATCCGCATTGCATGGTATTCCAAGAGGACTGTAATGTTCTACTGGACTGTCTGTTGAAAGGGAACTTTAATAGCTCCTTGGAAACGCGACTACCGAAGAAAGGAGAGGTGGAATTAATATGTGGTGGGCCCCCATGTCAAGGCTTCTCTGGCATGAATCGTTTCAACACCGGCAAAGTTTCCACCTTCAATAACTCACTAATAGCGACGTTCCTGTCCTACTGCGAGTACTACAGACCAGCGTACATAGTTATGGAGAATGTGGAAACTATGGCGTCCTTTAAAAATGGCATTGTGCTAAAGTTAACGCTTAAAGCTTTACTTAAAATTGGCTACCAGTGTACATTCGGTGTACTGCAAGCTGGGAACTTCGGTGTGCCGCAGACGAGGCGTCGTTTAATAATATATGGGGCCGCCCCAGGGTTCAAGTTGCCATTGTACCCGGAACCGACTAACACGTTCAACAAGCGAGCTTGCAACCTCAGCGTTGCAATAGATCGAAAGATATTCAGGACTAACGCGTGGAATTACTCTGCACCTAGACGCACATGTACCATACGTGACGCTATAGACGATTTGCCAGCTATACATAATGGATCCAATAAGATCCTTATGAATTATGATTTGGCACCGCAGTCTCCGTTTCAGCGTCTGTTCAGGAGTGGCATGAACGATGAAGTGACGAACCATATATGTAAAAGGATGTCCCCCCTTGTGCAAGCGAGAATTTCGTTGGTACCCTTATCTCCTGGGTCTGATTGGCGTGATCTGCCGAATAAAGTTGTCCTCTTGTCGGATTTTAGCGAAACAAAAGTAAGTATTTTTTAACTTGTGAGTTGAGGATTGGTATAGAAAGATAAATACGGTCGGGTTGGAAACAGCAGACTGACCTCTACTTAATGAAATTGGTCATTTGGAAAACGGCATTTCACGTATACTTTCTACAAGTCCTGGTGAAGTCCTAGAAGTGTAACTTACTTCGCAATAATTAAATGAACCTGTGGTAAATTGTTTTTAGCTGTAACTTACATTTTTTGTCATCATGTAGTCCAAAGTATGTAGAAATAAGTTATATAAAGTACAACATACACTGAGACTGAATCATTTCAGGTGCTCAAGTATTGTTATGATGATATAAAAAATGGTAGGGCCTCAAATGGTAATTTGCGCGGTGTATGCCGATGCGCAACTGGTGCTACTTGTGATCATGAAAGACAGGAGAATACCCTAATACCGTGGTGCCTGCCTCATACAGCTAACCGTCAGGGCAACTGGTCGGGTCTATATGGTAACAAGAATGTAGTATTCTCCGATGAGCGTGTAATTGTTGACCGCACCCCTATTAATGTTTATACCCCGCTATATTTTTCAGGGCGCCTTTCATGGGAAGGCTATTTTAGTACAACCGTGACAGATCCAGAGCCGATGGGCATGCAGGGTCGAGTCTTGCACCCTGAGCAGAATCGTGTGGTCTCCGTAAGAGAATGTGCTAGATCCCAGGGATTCCCTGATTCATACAGATTCTGGGGGACGATCGCCGAAAAGCATAGACAGGTCATAATCATATACTTTGTCTATACGGTAAATTTATTAATAGTCATTAAATTGAAATCTGTAATCGATTTTCATTTTGTATTTTTCAGATTGGTAACGCAGTTCCGCCCCCGTTAGCGGCAGCACTGGGCCGGGAATTGAAAAAAGCACTCTACAACCATCATACAAAATAAAAAAAGCCATGTGATGATTCATAGAAATAATATGTGATAGTAAAAATATTTTAAGTTAAGCCAATAAGAAGTAATATTTTTTTGTTATCTTTTAAAGTATGCTAAGTTGATTTTTTTTATTGAAAGTGTCTTAACATATCACATGGTCTTGTTTAATGTGTGTAAGTGTGATTCATAAATTAAAATGTTACAATACTTATATTAACAGGCAAGCAAGAAGTTAAGTTACGAAGGCTTGTTTAGCTTTTGTAACAACAATGAGTAATTTCGCTTTGTCATTAGTATTGATATTTTTAATTGTTTTTTTTAAAGAAATTTTTATAAAAATATTTTGCGTTGTAGTACTAACTCATTGTACTAACTCTTTTTGTTCAATAACATGTTTTGTTTGTAACATATTTTTTATTAATGACTATTTGGTTTTAAGATACGTTTCTTACTAATTTATAAAAGCGACACATTGCAGAAAAACAATGGACCTGCTTACTAATGCTTACAACAACAATAAAACATAGTTGCCAAGGGTTTTATTAACTTCCAAGAGATGGCGCTTTTATTAAAAGTTAAGTCTGACTCAAAGTCACCTTTGTTACTATTTCCTACATTAATAAAGAAAATATAATATACAATTTGTTTCATTACGTAATACACAGTAAGTCCTTTCTCGTTGCAAATGTTGCTCTAATATTGATTTAGGTAAATTCGATCGTTAGTCGTGAGTTTTATTTATTATTTTGTAACTTAGGTACGTGACAGAAACTTTATGTCATCTAAATTGCTGATAAAAATAATAATATTTCTGCTATTCTTATTTCTAAACCTGATATATAACAACATTTAAAATATATTATCTCTATAAAAGTTAATTCCCTTTGTACGTGGGCCTTGTTACCGACAAATGGCATCTACCTACCACTGGTGCATTTAATAAATAGACTTGATTAGACTTAAGTGCTTCTTTGTTAAAATGTATAGTTTCACCGCTATTCGAACCCAAGGCGTCTCGTGGATAACTCGGCGCGTTTAATCATTGGCACCTGTGTTCTAGTACGCTGAATGATTTTAAAGTCATATAATATTAAAAGAGCCTTGTCGATAGATTAAACGCGCTACTAGGGTTATGTGTATGACGTCATTTTATTGTAGTGTGCGTGAAAATGAAGCCTTACTTGTACAATTATGATGTACTTCCTTATTACGTATTAGACTTAGCATGTTATAAACTATGTTCGTATCATTGTAAATATTTTGTGACCGCGTTTTACACTTGACTATATAAAATGAATGTATGAAATTTTCTTTTCATTCTATTGGCAATCAGCTTTTGTAGGTACTATCCATCCAATATATTAGACTAGCTGTTTCAGCGAGAATCGTTATTTTGGGCATCCAAATACATTTTTGCTAATCTTTATAAACTTAAACTGCGACCCACGACGTCAGTCGCGTCCCTTTCCGTCGTCCTAGTGGTTGCGCAAATATTGCATCAATTTTTTGTTTGTTTAAACAGTTGCGGGGTTGGTAGTGTAACAAGTTCGGAAATAATTTTAATTAATTTAAATTTTAGACGTTCTTCTTTGTAGGAGACACTCAAATAACCACCCATAAACATTAAGAAATAGTTACACGAAAAAGTTTCTGCCAGTCTCAAAGTAAATCTAAAATTAGGGGTTTTTATTTTTTTATTGACATAATAAGGATTTCTTTTATATATACTTTTTTTTTTATTTTGCAGCTGGCCATTGACTGCCGAGGAAGAAAACTTCCTTAATGCTCTCCTCGAGTCCTTGACTAAGTTCACTGAGAATGGCGAACGCTACCTCGATCCGGAAGCCGTTGTAGCCATTGTCCATCAAATCTGGGCTTGACAAGGACTCATCAACGATCCTCACGCTATTGCCCCTATCACTTCTAACTCTAATTCGTCTAATGGGGCATCGACTTCCCGTTCATCGGCCAGATCCTAAAAGATCTCTTTAGATATGCTTATATTCTTCTTCGCTAATCTATTAGAAGTCTATTACTGTGCGGCTTAAATCCAAAGTGTAAAATACTTATTATAGTAAAATGTAATAAAAGTTTACTTTTATTATTAGAAAAACTCCCTTGACATCAACATTTTTATTATTGTATTCCTATAAGCAAAATTTGACGCACATAGGGTCATTATCACATTAGAGTTAAAGTGTAAGATACACTTAATGTAGAAATAGAATTAGAAAGGTCTACCTACGGTTTATTGTTTTCTTTAATTTTAAATAAAAAAATATGATTAAATGTTTATTATTACAACTTGGTGAGAATAATTTGTGCTGGAACTGCCTACTTCCTATTAACATTTATAAAAACTAAGTCACCATTTTAGAAATAAACTCGACAAATTTTCATAATTTAATGGCTATAATAAGAATTTATATTTGAAACAATTTTAATATTTAAAGAAAATGCATCATTTACTTTCGACAAAAAAACGAATTTTTATATTTTATATCGTTATAGTTAAAACCAAAGGCTAATCTGTATAATTTAAGAAATAACCAATTAACTTGAAATCTCTTTGTTATTGAAATTGCTGTTCTTTTTTTTTATTATACGTCAAAGGTCTAATCTACAAGGTTATCAAACAATGTCTACTCTGTTTTGTCTGTGGAGTATTCTAGAATCCTAGATTACGGGTATGTTGTAATCTGTCAAATGGTTATCGATGTCATTTGAACTGTTGTCAAGTGTCAGTCTAATATTTACGACTTTACAAACAAAAATAAACATCAGATTCTAGTCCTAATTTAGATAGTTCTATTGCTTTATAGATATGTCTACTTTTTTCTATGCTAAGATATTAATTTGTACCTGAAAATATACAACTTTCATATATTATTGACTTCAGAAGGTGTGAGTCTAGTATTCAATTGGGAAATGGTGAATTAAATTAAAGTTGTTCCGCCTTTATAGTTTCCTAACCTTTAACCCAATTTCTTCTGTCTTCAAAAAAAAAAACACTGCTACTTACTGAGAAAGGTTCGTCCCGCTGCAGTCACATTAGCTAATCTTTCTGGTGAATATTTATATAGACCTGGTTTATTTTTATTATATCCGTTATACCGTACTCCTGAACCACCTACATGTGATACATTATTGGTGCATGGCCTTCGTGGTGGTGTCTTTGTGACATGGAGACAAAGAGACAGAACTTGCTTCAAACCAATAGGGCTTTTAGAAGTATCTATTACAGAACCAGAATGTGATCCATGTAAAGAAAATGAAACCGAAGCAAAGTATTATGATCCTGAATTACAGCAGGTTTTGGATGATATAATGGAACTTGAAGAAGAAGCTCTTCTATCAAATTTTGAAGTTGTCTTACATGACCTTCCTATAGATGCTAAGCGTGAACCATTAAACAAATTTACTTTTACAGCAGACAAGAAGATAAATGCTTTAATACAAGAAGAGGAGGATAGGTGCAACTATACATTTTGCTGGCCCAAAGATTGGCTCCCAAAAGACTGTAAAAATTTGAGAATTTTGGGTATAAATTATTGGACTTCTCTGTCTGAATGGCTGGAGCACTGTCCTTTGCAAAATGCAGATATATCTACACGAGCTTCGGAACTAATACCAATATTAGTTGATGCTGATGTTGGGAGAAGGAATGTTGTTTGGTTAACACACTCTATGGGCGGCCTTATTGTTAAACAATTGCTCATACAAGCTTCAGAAAGTGGAAACCTTCTATACAAACAATTATGTGATTATACAAAAGCAATAGTTTTCTATAGTACACCTCACAGGGGCAGTGCACTTGCAACAATGCCGAGAGCCGCCGCTGCTATATTATGGCCTTCTCAAGATGTGCAGCAATTACAGGAAAACTCCCCATCCTTACTTAAGATACATCAAGAGTTTATAAAATATGCAGAACGGTATGGATGGGAGACAATAAGTTTTGCAGAAACACTTCCAACCCCAGTGACAGCATTTAAAGTGCCAATTCATTTTGTTGAACCATTTTCAGCTGATCTTGGAAGAGGGATTTTTTACCAATTACCTTTAGACCATTTATCTATTTGCAAGCCAGCTACGAGGCAGTCAATTTTATATACCACTGTCTTAGATGTATTAAGGAGAGCAATTGCTGCAGATTTAGAACTGCAAAACACTAATAATTATATCCAACGTTTTATACATTTCCTATTTTGGACTGCAAGAAGTAAACTTAAAACAATTATTGAGATTTTGGATGAAACTCAAAGTTTTGATAATGCTCATGACTTTGAAAAAGCTTTACTATATTCCTTCACAGATGATTTCTTTGAATAAATTTTCTATCAACAAATGTGTTTGTTTTTTTCTTTTTTAAATAATATTGTATGTCTGTCTTAATGAAATGATTACAAGTTACTAGCTTAATTGAGCTATGTAGGTATGTCATTGGTAAACCATAAATTAAATTATTGTCAGAAAAAGGAATACTGATAGTATAACGATTTGTAGTAAGTAGCTTTAATTACTTAAACTTGAACAATTGATTATTAAAAAAAGTAAACTTAAATTGCTTACTTTACTTAAAATAGAAACACCAAAACGTTAAAACCAAATATGCCTTGATATATAGACTTCTTATTGTAAGACTCCGTTTTTCTTACGATAGAAAAATGTTTGAATAAATGTACTTCCTAAGTATATGTTCTCACGACAGTGCTTTTAATCCCAGTTCCGTTTTTAACTTCTTTATGCAAAAATACGTATATTTTTATTTTGCAAAATTATTAATTTGTTTTAAACTTCGCATAGTATCACAATCTGACCTATATCATGGCTCATTCAGTGCATGTCCAGTCGCAGAATGCCCAGAGGTAATGCCGTGAAGTTTTATCACATTTCAGTATCGGTTTGTAAATTCCTGAACCTCAAAAGGCAAAATACATCAACGCGTTTGTTTGTTTGTCTGTTCTCCTCTATCATACACACAAACCGCTAATTAAACCGCCAAATAACTAGGCGTTAACCATTCTCACGTCTAACTAAATCGCGAGACGAAACAAGAGCGATTTAAATGCATTCGTATGTAGACTTAGATCCAGGATTTACAAGAAACAATATTTAACCAATTAAATTGTAAATTAATAACTATGATGACATCTGGTATATTAATGTTTTTCGTCCATAACAGTAGAGAAAATTTTAATATAACATTTAGAATAAAATATTGTATGATAATCATAAATAAATAAGTCATAAATTAGCATCATAGGTTACCATTGACATTTTTTTAAATATAACTGGCTGGTAACCAATCAAAGCGTGACTTAAAAACGCGGTAAATTCAAATGAATTCTTACACTGAAGTTATATGAGGGGTGAATTCATTTTTTAAAACCTATATTATCATCAGTATAATTTATATATTAATAAAAAAATACTATATTTAGTATAAGGCTATAATAGATACTATTTAAAATTTAAGTCATATTTAAAAAGTTTATTTGACTATGTTTACACCGGATATAAGTGGTTGTAGCGCCAACAAACAAGAAAGTTTCTAGAAAACATTTACGATTTTTTAATTTTCATATACCTTTAATACGCCTTAATCGTTTTAATTATCTATTAATAAATACTTAATTTATTTTTTAATTAGGTATATTTTATCTTTTATCTCAGCAACAGTTGCAAAACAAAAATAATTAATTGAGTGCAGAGATTTTTTTGACTTTAGTGTTGTACCATTTTTTCTAGTACTCGATATTTTCAGTTTCGTATAGTTTTGTATTTTATGCAAATCTTTTTTTAATTCAATTTGGGTTTCTGAACTGCCTATTTTTCATCGCCACCAATAAGGACACTACACCTAAATGCGAAATATATTCGAGTACTTCATATACAAGAATATTATTTAATTTAGGATTTTTTAAAATAAACATGCAAATTTATATTGTATTATCATCGGTGACTTATAGTCTATTTTTAAAAAGCAAATAGCTAAATAATAGCTTAATATTTTTATTATCTTGTAAAAACTATCGATATTTACTACCCTTTCATTACCTGTGTGGGCTTCACTTATTAAACGACTTCCTTTTTCAATTTTTCACAATTGCGAGGACGCGTTGCAGGCGAAAACGTGATTACATTTTAATCCTGAAAATTAATAAAGTGAATGATTTAAAGTTAAAAGATAAAAAAAAACGGAGACGAATTCTTGCTGAGAACTTAAACAGTGCATTTAACTTAAGTGTTGAGTGTTATTTTGATATATCGAGGCGTAATAATTTGCGACGTAAATTTGCGGCCATCTTGAGACCACGCCTTTAATTCGCAAAAAGTTTAAATTAATTAAGATGTTAGTGGCAAAAAAGAAAAGGACTCGGAGGTCAAAAATTAGCGGTTCTTTGAATAAACGGAATACAACTGAAGTGGGTGAAAACATCGTCTTGCACTTACCGATGTATCAAGCAAACGGTATGTTTTTTTTGTATTGTCATTTATGTACTGTTGCGAGTTTGAGTAGTACGTAGTAATCGCAATATATCTCATTACTACGCATACTGTTTCAAACATACTTGAATATTTCTTATTAAGTAGGTACCGCGGTACTATAGATGCCACAGGTGTGAATTTTTATTTTTACGTATATAGTCTAAGACGCAAATTAGTTCGACTCACGAACACTTGGGTGTCCCCACTGTTCGCCGACGGGATTCTTCGAAGAGTTGGACGTTGGCGTTGGACTCGGAAGCCCCGCGTCCCTAATAAAATCTATTTATGTGTACGCATTGTGCAATTCATTAAGTCATAGACGATAATGCACTTACGCAAGCGGTAGGTACACTTAATAGCAAGTTATGACCTAAAGAGAAGTAGGAATTTCTTCTGGGCAACATGTTAAATTAAAAAAAAATCATGAAAATAAATTGTGTTAGGCTTTCACGGTCGTCGTTCAGCATCTTAGTGGTCTAAATCAGGAGATATTAGCTCCTCGATTGCTTGAAGAATTAACATCGTCCGCGATCCGACTTCGTCCGCGTGGAATAGTGCCTTTGATTAGAATTTTTAATTATTTAGACTGTTTAATAATTTATAAAAGTGCGCATATATGTGCAGTGCTACTTTGCCGCAACACTCCTACACTCACTCTCATTGCTACCCCCACCACGTGAAAACCACGAAATTCAATACAAATTTTCATCCCCCTTTTCAACCCCTAACAACCCTTTTTTGGTATTAAAAAGTAGCCTATGTCTTTTCTCAGGCTATACAAATATGTGTACCAAATTTCATTTAAATCGGTTCAGTAATTTCGGCGTTAAAGCCGGTCAGACAGACAGTTACTTTCGCATTTATAATATCAGTATAGAGTATTAGGAAATTATTTATTTACAGGTTCTTATTCTTATACTTCAAAACTGGGAAGTTTTTATTGACTTTTCATGCTTTTATATCTGTATTAAAGTGGGTTTAGTCATTTCTTAAATATATATTTTTAGCGCTACTAATTCAGGTGTATACTTAACAGGAATGCTGGTAGTCAAATATGGATTATGGTTGTAAAGACTTTTTGCTTCTTTTCAGAGATGAGTGAGGATAAACCATATGTAATTATCAATGAATTTACTATCTATGATCAGCAGAGCAACTTAGTTCCAATAGAAATGTATCTTTGTAAAACTAATATAACATTGTACATGTCTGGATGTATAGAGCCAGGGCATAAGAAGGACCCTTACACTATGCACATAAGCAGACGGATTAAAACAGGCAAAATACTCAAATGGTAAGTTTGTTTTGGCACTTTTAAAATATGTTGACTATATTATGTAGTTTATACAGACTAGGAGAAAAATTAACACATTAAGGCTATGTTAGGGAGACATAAGCTATATACGCCCTCAACCCAGGGGCATTTAAACCTTAAACTAAGCGACAATGTTTAAAGTATATATTTATTATTTAAGCGAAATAATGCAAGCAAACTGGAAGGTTTGAAGGAGGAGATGGGGAGAGTTGGATAACCCAAGACCTTTGCAAGGAGGATATGGGTGAAATGGTCAGCTGATGGCGTGGACTAATCACCCGGCCTTCTACAGGTGTCCCCGATAGAAAATAATAGTTCAGTCTAAAATACTTGTACTTCAAACTAGACTAAAATATTGCAGGGTCATTCGCGATTTGCCTGGTCCTAAAAGAAGTATATCTATTATAATAACAACAAGTTATGGGTTTTATGAACTTCAAGATCCTAGCAAACGTTATGCACCTATAATGGGGAGGACATATGAGAAGATATGGTTAAGTCAATTAACTCTGGAGTATCTACGTGAGAATATAGATCTTGATCTGACCTATGACGGATTGCTTTCTCACCTTAGTGGGGCAAAAATTGGCCAAATTGGGAAATTTTCCGAAATGATGTTGCATAGACATGCACAGTATGTGTGCACACAGGTATATACAGAACCCATATCTTTATATTTAATCAAATGAAACAAAATTAATAGTAACATTCTAAATTGTACCTACCTAAACCTTGTTCTCTTTACTAAAATAATAATAATCTTTTAACAACAACATTGAACAATTTGGAGTGGCAGATATTTCAATAAATTTTAATTACATGTCCTTTGAACAAAAGTATTTTCATTCTACTTAGTGGTATACAATTATGAATTTTTTTAGGTTAATTTCTGTAAGCATAATATCAATCAATCAAACAATCAGTCTCTTTTGAAAGTACCATGTATGCAGCATTTGATGCACATTACGGGTGTGAAATGTAGAAAAGCAGAGCTATCTGTAACATTTGGACAGTCGAAGTCACCTAACAAAGTGATCACCACTCCCTTAATTCAGAGGATATTTGAGGAGTTTTTACTTGACAACCCGGAACCTATGGAGAAAAGGCAACGCTACAATTTTAATTTACTTTTATGCATTTTAGTGTGCTGTGTATGCTATACCATTATAAAACGTTCATCTATTTTTTTCCCATTACTAGTGCGTCTGCAACTTATATGTTATAAATATGTAAAAATGTAATCCTTTACATATATTACTATTATTATATACTTATAAGACTAATTTTCTTAGATTAATTTTGAAACAAAAAAACCTTGAGAAAATATTCGATAAAATTATGATCATTATTCATCTTTATTTTCTAAATACAGATGGTCTGAATTTCGCCAATCCCGGCGAAGTCACATCTACAAGGTTGTAAAGTGGATAGGTGAACCAATTAAACAAGACAAAGAAAAGATATTTTACGAATCCGTTACTGTTAATGGGGCTTTTCTAAAGATTGGGGATTACGTCACAGTGGAGCCGGCTAACCGCCGTTTACCACCTTTGGTGACAAGAATAGTATCGCTGTGGAAGTATAACAGGCTGTACCTTAAGGGATTCTTCCATGCTCAGGTGTTTATGAGGTCTAGAGATACTGTGCTAGGGAATACTGGAGGTAAGTTATGGAATCTCTATAATATTGTACAATACTGATGTAACTATTGTTAATGCAAGGTTTGTCACTCTTTAACACTATTAATGTCGCGATCGATGAAATTTACGTTAAATACCCATGTATTACAAAGTAAATTATAATATATTCCTGCGAGATCTAGACTACTAATACGCAATTTTATTTGAAAGCCTTACAAATTACAATTTTCAGATCAATGGGAAGTCTTTCTCACAGACCGATGTTGCCACAATGTGCCTTTATCGTCCGTGATACATAAGGTGAACGTCATAAAAGTAATCTACCCAGATGAGTGGTCAAGTCTCGGCGGTTTACAGGAATTGATCAACGAAGACGAAGACATGGATGAGTACGAAAGTTACTATTGCTCAAAATATTACGATAGATTCACCTGTCGTTTTATTGACCTACCCTCAGATCCTATATGCCTTGACTCACAACGCAAACACAGTTTCTGTCCCTCGTGTGAAAGAAAAACTTTGAAAGAACTTCAGGAGATCCCTGTATTGTCCACTAGAGGAAGTAAAAGTGTGATATGGAGAAACCACAGTTACGAAAAGGGAAGCGCAGTATTTTTGAAGCCCGGCATATTCAAATTTAAAAATAACTATAATTTATGCCGCGAGAAACTTGAAGTCCAGTTAGAAAAAGTAAACGAGACAGAATACCCTGAGTATTATCGCAAGAACAGTAAGAACATACGCGGCTCTAACTTTGGCACCGCAGAGCCATTCTGTGTGGGCTATATAGAAGACGTTAATATTTCTCTACCCCTAACAACTTACCCAGGGCCCAAACAAATTTTCTTAAAGGTCCGAATACTGTATAGACCTGAGAACACTAACTGCCGCTTTCCTCACCGCGAAGACTTAAATCTTGTATACTGGAGCGATCATTTTCTTGTTGTTCCGTTCTCGGCTGTCACAGGACCCTGCACTCTTGCTTATGCTGTGAATATACCTGATGACAATTGGCTGGAAGCTGACCCGAGCAGGATGTACTTTTCCAGAGCGTACGATCCAGCCACTGGTAAATTCCAAAATGTACCAAGAGAGGCTTGCCATATTGGGCCTCAGATAGAAAGTCCACATTGGGAACGTCGACCATTGCGAACACTGGACTTATTTGCCGGTTGCGGCGGGCTATCTCTCGGTATGCATCAGTCGGGTGTCGCTGATTGCACGTGGGCTATAGAAAAAGAGGACGCTGAAGCGAATGCGTATCTCCTTAACAATCCGCATTGCATGGTATTCCAAGAGGACTGTAATGTTCTACTGGACTGTCTGTTGAAAGGGAACTTTTATAGCTCCTTGGAAACGCGACTACCGAAGAAAGGAGAGGTGGAATTAATATGTGGTGGGCCCCCATGTCAAGGCTTCTCTGGCATGAATCGTTTCAACACCGGCAAAGTTTCCACCTTCAATAACTCACTAATAGCGACGTTCCTGTCCTACTGCGAGTACTACAGACCAGCGTACATAGTTATGGAGAATGTGGAAACTATGGCGTCCTTTAAAAATGGCATTGTGCTAAAGTTAACGCTTAAAGCTTTACTTAAAATTGGCTACCAGTGTACATTCGGTGTACTGCAAGCTGGGAACTTCGGTGTGCCGCAGACGAGGCGTCGTTTAATAATATATGGGGCCGCCCCAGGGTTCAAGTTGCCATTGTACCCGGAACCGACTAACACGTTCAACAAGCGAGCTTGCAACCTCAGCGTTGCAATAGATCGAAAGATATTCAGGACTAACGCGTGGAATTACTCTGCACCTAGACGCACATGTACCATACGTGACGCTATAGACGATTTGCCAGCTATACATAATGGATCCAATAAGATCCTTATGAATTATGATTTGGCACCGCAGTCTCCGTTTCAGCGTCTGTTCAGGAGTGGCATGAACGATGAAGTGACGAACCATATATGTAAAAGGATGTCCCCCCTTGTGCAAGCGAGAATTTCGTTGGTACCCTTATCTCCTGGGTCTGATTGGCGTGATCTGCCGAATAAAGTTGTCCGCTTGTCGGATTTTAGCGAAACAAAAGTAAGTATTTTTTAACTTGTGAGTTGAGGATTGGTATAGAAAGATAAATACGGTCGGGTTGGAAACAGCAGACTGACCTCTACTTAATGAAATTGGTCATTTGGAAAACGGCATTTCACGTATACTTTCTACAAGTCCTGGTGAAGTCCTAGAAGTGTAACTTACTTCGCAATAATTAAATGAACCTGTGGTAAATTGTTTTTAGCTGTAACTTACATTTTTTGTCATCATGTAGTCAAAGTATGTAGAATTAAGTTATATAAAGTACAACATACACTGAGACTGAATCATTTCAGGTGCTCAAGTATTGTTATGATGATATAAAAAATGGTAGGGCCTCAAATGGTAATTTGCGCGGTGTATGCCGATGCGCAACTGGTGCTACTTGTGATCATGAAAGACAGGAGAATACCCTAATACCGTGGTGCCTGCCTCATACAGCTAACCGTCAGGGTAACTGGTCGGGTCTATATGGTAACAAGAATGTAGTATTCTCCGATGAGCGTGTAATTGTTGACCGCACCCCTATTAATGTTTATACCCCGCTATATTTTTCAGGGCGCCTTTCATGGGAAGGCTATTTTAGTACAACCGTGACAGATCCAGAGCCGATGGGCATGCAGGGTCGAGTCTTGCACCCTGAGCAGAATCGTGTGGTCTCCGTAAGAGAATGTGCTAGATCCCAGGGATTCCCTGATTCATACAGATTCTGGGGGACGATCGCCGAAAAGCATAGACAGGTCATAATCATATACTTTGTCTATACGGTAAATTTATTAATAGTCATTAAATTTAAATCTGTAATCGATTTTCATTTTGTATTTTTCAGATTGGTAACGCAGTTCCGCCCCCGTTAGCGGCAGCACTGGGCCGGGAATTGAAAAAAGCACTCTACAACCATCATACAAAATAAAAAAAGCCATGTGATGATTCATAGAAATAATATGTGATAGTAAAAATATTTTAAGTTAAGCCAATAAGAAGTAATATTTTTTTGTTATCTTTTAAAGTATGCTAAGTTGATTTTTTTTATTGAAAGTGTCTTAACATATCACATGGTCTTGTTTAATGTGTGTAAGTGTGATTCATAAATTAAAATGTTACAATACTTATATTAACAGGCAAGCAAGAAGTTAAGTTACGAAGGCTTGTTTAGCTTTTGTAACAACAATGAGTAATTTCGCTTTGTCATTAGTATTGATATTTTTAATTGTTTTTTTTTAAGAAATTTTTATAAAAATATTTTGCGTTGTAGTACTAACTCATTGAAATAACTTTTTGTTCAATAACATGTTTTGTTTGTAACATATTTTTTATTAATGACTATTTGGTTTTAAGATACGTTTCTTACTAATTTATAAAAGCGACACATTGCAGAAAAACAATGGACCTGCTTACTAATCTTACAAAAAAAAAACATAGTTGCCAAGGGTTTTATTAACTTCCAAGAGATGGCGCTTTTATTAAAAGTTAAGTCTGACTCAAAGTCACCTTTGTTACTATTTCCTACATTAATAAAGAAAATATAATATACAATTTGTTTCATTACGTAATACACAGTAAGTCCTTTCTCGTTGCAAATGTTGCTCTAATATTGATTTAGGTAAATTCGATCGTTAGTCGTGAGTTTTATTTATTATTTTGTAACTTAGGTACGTGACAGAAACTTTATGTCATCTAAATTGCTGATAAAAATAATAATATTTCTGCTATTCTTATTTCTAAACCTGATATATAACAACATTTAAAATATATTATCTCTATAAAAGTTAATTCCCTTTGTACGTGGGCCTTGTTACCGACAAATGGCATCTACCTACCACTGGTGCATTTAATAAATAGACTTGATTAGACTTAAGTGCTTCTTTGTTAAAATGTATAGTTTCACCGCTATTCGAACCCAAGGCGTCTCGTGGATAACTCGGCGCGTTTAATCATTGGCACCTGTGTTCTAGTACGCTGAATGATTTTAAAGTCATATAATATTAAAAGAGCCTTGTCGATAGATTAAACGCGCTACTAGGGTTATGTGTATGACGTCATTTTATTGTAGTGTGCGTGAAAATGAAGCCTTACTTGTACAATTATGATGTACTTACTTATTACGTATTAGACTTAGCATGTTATAAACTATGTTCGTATCATTGTAAATATTTTGTGACCGCGTTTTACACTTGACTATATAAAATGAATGTATGAAATTTTCTTTTCATTCTATTGGCAATCAGCTTTTGTAGGTACTATCCATCCAATATATATTAGACTAGCTGTTTCAGCGAGAATCGTTATTTTGGGCATCTGCTAATCTTTATAAACTTAAACTGCGACCCACGACGTCAGTCGCGTCCCTTCCCGTCGTTCTTGCAAGTTAATCTTAAAAGATATCTATATTATATATAATATAGATATAAATGTTCTAACCAACTCAAAAATCAAATATTTTTATTCGAACCAGTAGTTCCTGAGATTAGCGCATTCAAACAAACGAACTCTTTGGCTTTATATATTAATATAGATTTTTCCGGGATTTAAACCTATGAGCTCTCTACGTTAACACAACCCTGGTTGATTTGAAACAACGCTATCCTTTTTACTAACACGTAATTGATACACCTGCCTTATTATCGAATTAAGGTTTTACGATTTTTTATTTAAATTAAAAAAGCAGGTGTCTTTTCAGTCAATAGTCTTAAATTTATAATTTTAATAATAATATATGGAGTAATTTACTAGATGCCATACTAAAATATATTATACAATACCTATTGCGTTTGTTGAAAATAATGAATTCTTAAGAAGAGAGTTCAAACAACAGGTAACAAAGGTACAAAAATAGATTTGTCTCTAATCCATTAACAGACGAAAAAGTGTATCTCTTGATTAAGAAATATCGAACCAGAAATAAACGTGAATTAAACTCTTGAAATTACCACTAAATATATTTAAATTACTAGCTGTGTCACGGTGGTCGTCCGCGTAGATTTTTGGGTATCTAAATTTGGTTTTTGCTAACCGTTTCATAGTTATGAATTTAAACTGTCACCCAGGACGTCGGTCGCGTCCCGTCTTTCTTGCAAGTTAATTAAAGATAGACATTAGTATCGCGGACTTTTTTTTCATAATTTCGAGAGCAATTGTTCTTACATACATATTTTTTGCGTATCTTGAACCGTTTTTGCAGTGTACGCATCGGAAACCTACAAGGATGAATTATTTTCCCCGTTTTTTTATTCGCGCTGTTTATTCGCACCTATTCGTCACAATGCGATGTTTTCCCTGTCCTTATATACCCCTCTCGATAAATGCTCTAACAAACACAAAAACATTTTTTCAATTCGAACCAATAGACCCTGAGATTAACAGGTTCAAACAAACTCTACAGCTTTACATATTAGTATAGATTAGAGTTGTAGCATTATGCGATAGAACTAGAGAAAGAGCGAGATGCTCCTTCAACTTTTGGGTCACAGTGCGAATGTTTAGACATCAAATTGGGTCATCGATCTGAACTCGCCCCCGCCGGCAATCCGTGACAGCCTTCTCTCAGTTATTACCGCTTTCGTTAAACCATACACAAATTCTATTGTATTAAAATATGCATATAGCCTCATTGTGAGTCTAGCGTCCTTTCTTATTTTCGATTCAGTTTTTTAATGTTTAAATATGTATTTAACTAATTCAACAACATGTTTCAGCCACATATTCAGACATAATGACGTTTGGTCCAACTGTGGGAGCTATCGGCTAAAATCGTAGATGTATTAGCACGGTCAAATAATCTCTCTATATAACAGTGAAATTGTAGCTATGTAGCGCGTATTGTCTAACAAACAATGCCATGTCGAATTCTAGTTAAATAAAAAAATATACAATTTATAATCTGGGTCAACTCGCTGCTGTATGGCCGCGACAGTTGTTTGAAACGTCAAATTGGAGCACAGTCGTTGTTGGTAATATGGACTGGCACAGTTCTGACCTAATTTTTCTAGCAACCTCTGAAGTAGGTACTTCCCATTTATAGGCGACTAATGGCTTATTCTTAGCAGCCGTTGCTTTGTAGGTAATTTATATTCAACTGCTTTTTAATATGAAGGTCTTAGTAATTACCATTAGCTTGCCATGATTTGATTCATTGACTATACTTATTACATCTTGTTATCGTTGGTAAACAAAATTTGATCGGACATTCAAAGAATATATTCATTTATATTTTTGTTTTGCCGTAGGTACTTAGGCGTTTCTTGTGTAACCCAAACAAAATGATTGTATCTTAAAAGTATTAACCTATATGGAAAACCTATGTGGAATTTAATCAATTCATATATGAGACATATATATAAATATAATTTTGTATATGCTAAGACGAATATTAATTATAATTCATTTAATCTTATTATAAAGCAGGTGTAAAAAATAATACGCAGTAAAAATCTACTTATACATAATAAATAAGAAATAACTGGGATTTGGTATTTCACTCACTGTTGATCTTTTTGGGAATTTCTCTATTAAGGGGTTTTATTCTAATTCGATTCCAATCCTTCTTTTTAAGTCGAGTCTCATCAAGGATTCGGCTTCAACTACCGAAGTCGTAGTGACACCTTTGGCTAGAAGTGAAGACTGAACTATAGTTTCGAATTTAATATAGTATATGTATTTTTTTACGGTGTGTACATACCATATGCATAATTATCTAATAAACCTTTTTTTGTGAATACATCTGTGGAATAAATAAACGAGAGCGGCATGTGTGAAGACAACCCAATATTACAGACAGGAGAATAGCCAAGTTTAATCTCAATATCCTAATTTTATTTCTTTGCCTTCGGCGGATAAAGATTGTGTGTCAACAAAATATTTTAATTATTGCATACTCTTCATCTTTGTAAATTAAAGCTGTTACCCACGACGTCGGTCGGGTCCCCTCGTTCTTGCAAGTTAATTTTAAAAAGATAGATACATAGTTGTCCGGTAATTTTTTTACATAACTCAAGTATCTTGAACCGTTTTCTGTTTTCTCAGCACACGCAACGGAAGCCCTCGAAAATGAATAATTTCCGTCATTTTTTTCCACATTTCTTTGTTTCTTTGCTCTCATTTCCTGCAGCCCTCCTCTAGCAGATGCTCTAACAAACACAAATATATATTTTAAATTCGAGTAGTTCCTGAGATTAGCGCCTTCAAACAAACAAACAATCTCTTCAGCTTTCATGTTTTAATATTAGATTGTAATTAGTTTGATTATCTCAAACCCAACGGGACATATAAATTAAATATTCACTGTCGATAATGAAACAGCAATAACCTTGTTGGACAAACAAAGTAACTGAAAATAACGAAGTTTATATTATCAAAGCATGTCAAGTAGGCAACATACAGAGGAACGAATAAGGAAGTATCGAATTCCTAACAAAGACCTTCCGAGAGCTCTGCATGGCCACCATAATTTATTCGCTTTAATTATGTTCTAGAACAAATGTGCTCATTCACTACTTGTACCTATGAGATAGTGTTATCTACTTGTGGTTACAGATATTTTACTGCGTGTTCGAGTTAGGTAACTTTGTTTAGTAAAAACTAATAAGAATTTAAGTATTGAGTTAAAGACATTTTATCAAACGTTACGTCGTTCCAATTACAACGATATAATTATTTTTTTAACTAACAGTTTCACATTAAACGTTACGTTTTATTTTAAAACACCTTCGTAGCTTAATTGTTAAAAGTGTTGCCTAGCATTGTATTAAGCACGAAGATACGAAACCCAGGGAAAAATTTAATTGCAACTACTTACCTGTAAATAATAACGATCAGTAAAACCGACAGCACTTGTTAGCCCCATGCCCCAGGGAGAAGCGGGATTCTATTTTACGTATACTATTCTACTTCTCTAAGCAATCAAAAGTTTTAGTA